TTTAGTCAGGGGCCATCCTGGGTGGTGTTCACAGGTTGGCCCTGGCTTGGTGCTTGGGGGTTGCTTCCAGCAGTCTCCAGAATCACACCCAAGGGCTCCAGCATGAGAAGCATCTCTCCAGCCCTTTGAACCATCTACCCAGCCTCCTGGGTGTCTTCTGATGGCAGTGGGTGCTCCCTGCGAGTTGCTGGATACTCTGTCTCAATCCTTAATTGCACCTGCAAATCTCTTTGCCATATAAGGTACATTTGCAGGTTCCAGAGATCAGGATGTGGGCATCTGTGGGGTCATTCTCCAGCCAACCACAGCTGCTGCTATCTAAATATGTGTGTGTGCACCTTCCCCCTCCACCCCCCCCCCCCCCCCAAGCTTGATCAGTAGTTTCCTTGGTAGAGAATTCTAGTTTCATGGTATTTTTTTTCCCTCAGAGCTTTGAAAATTAGTGCTTCTTTATCTTTGGATAGAGGTTTGATGTCCAGTCTCATTCTCATTTCTTGGTATTTGGGGTACCTTGACCTTGCTTGGTATAATGAGTTTGAGATCCCCTCTTTCTCTCTGTCAGATGTTTTGCTTATACTTGCTTAGTGTCTGAAATTTCAACATTAAAAATTATGTTAAGGACTGTGGGTGCAACTTGTGTAACTCGGTGGTAGATCATTTGCTTTGCATGGGTGAGGTCCTGGGTTCCATCCCTGGCCCTGAAAAAAAAAATTGTATAAAGGTGGAAAATATTTTTGAGGAGAAACTTACTATTTAGCTACATACTCCTAGCTTACATTTAGTGTTTTAAATGAAAAATGTCTCTGTTGTTCATGGCCAGTTTGTATTAAAAGCAGTAAGAATGTGGCTAATCTGAACACAGCAAGCATAAGGCCTGTTCTGAAATGGTTTGTGTAAAGCCCATTTGTTTTTCGCTGGAATGCTGGGTGTAGGCTGGTGCAGTTCAGACTTGGGAGGGAGCCTGAAAGGCATGTTTCTGCCCTTAACAAACAGCATCTTTGTTTGCGTCCCTGCAGGCCTCGCCGCACAGCGAGGCCCCTCTTCTGCCCCGTGCCGGTTTCTCAGGGACAGCCAGTGGACCTGCCCTCCGCCTTCTGCCTGCCTGTCTCGGTCGCCGAGGCACCACTTGATGTGCTTGGGGGCTTGAGAGCCAGAGGCTGGCCATGAAATCTCGACTCTATGAGGACTGAGGCTGTTGTGAACTCCCAGGGCCGGACTGGTTATCTCATAAAGGGTAAAGTGCTTTCCAAATGGGACTGGTGCTCTGCAATACCTTATGTTCCTCTGTCAAAATGCACTAGGCAGAGCAGTCTGTTGTCATTGTGGAGCAAACTGGTAAAAAGGAATGAAATTGCTGATTCTAATTTGGGGTTGACTTTGTGATAGTATAAAACAATGCGTGCTTTTAAAATTACCTCATCTGAGAGGACGCTTGATTCTTTTTTAAAAGTTCTATAAATTTAAATGGACTCAGATCTTAAAATGTGATAGCTGCCAGCATTTTTAATATGCTTCATAAAATGCTGTGTTTGTCATTTTCTTTCCCAGATTGTGCCCAGAATTGTTTTCCTCTATACTTGAGTATTTAATCCTTAGTAAACATCTTTGGATTCTTACTGTTTTTAAAAAAAATGCATCTTTTAGTTTGAATCTTTGGAATCTTGTTCTATTAGCTACAGAGTTAATAAGGAATCGATCTTACATGATTTGAATAATGTAGTAGGTGTTTTCTGCTCTTGGTGTGGCCTGTGAGGTCCTGCACAGTGACCCTCTTTGGTAGGTGTGTGGAATGAGCATGCACTTGTGCACAGACACAGAGCAGCTGCTCGCAGTCTGTGTTTGGCACTTTGGGGGCGTCCCTCTGTTTCTGCAAAGGGGTTCTCATCAAAATGAGAGCAAAAGCAGTGGCATTCTAGTGCAGTTCTGGATACCTTTCCCAGTGATAAGTCCCACAGCTTGAAAGAATTTAACTACAGTGAATTCTATATAGGATGCTACTTCGTACTGTAGGTGGTGGCCTCACAGTTCACATTATTGAAAATGGTTCTAAATGCAGTGTTATGAGAAGTTGACATTTCCCTTTAGGCCTTTGGAGACACAGTAGAATTTTTTTTTTTAATTAGTTTGACATTACCATTATATGAATTTTCCTACCCCATCCCCTGAGGATGAACTGAGGATAAAAAATTTCTAAAAGAACATGCAGACTTAGAGCTTATTTATTTGCTATAGAGTCAAAGTTAATATTCTGGTCATGCTAAAACTGAATCATCTTTCCTCATACAGAAATCCAGTTGTATTCATTTTCAGTATGGCCTCTGTCAAGTTTTCCATATGGAAATCTCTTGACTGGAGATGATCTTACCATGTTGATGTTTATAATTCACGGTTTGACTCAACACAATTTTCTTGAGATACTTTGTGTCTTCTCTTCCCAACTGTGGACTGTTTTCAATTCTTGCCTTTTTGCATTTAGGCTTCTCTCTGTTAACCCAGAAACCGAAAGGAGAGGCCAGGCTTTCAAAGCACTGTTTCGGGCTGGGCCACGCCCCCCAGCAGCTCTGTCCCTGTCGCTGGATCCCAAGATGCAGGGTCATTCTCCTGGCTGACTCCTGGCTGACTCTGTCCACTCATCTGCCCTCTCAGCCCTTCCACACAAGTGTGAGTGTGATGCTTTCAAGCTGGGTCGCAGAAGAGGAAAAAGCTTCATAAAGCTGTGGTTCATAAGACTGGAGAAGGGGAATGGATCTTTCGAATGAGTTGATTATCCCAGACTCCGGATACCACTAGCCTTCTTGCAAAACTTATCGAATACTCCTTTCATTCATATTTCCCCCCAAAGATAGCAGCATGTAGACACTTGAAGTCAGAGAAAATATAGTTACATAAATCTATTTCCCCAAACAAACTTTAAAAACCTGACACAGTCTCGTTTTACTGTCTGTGCTATTAGAAATAATCTTGTACTTGTTTGAGCCTGCATGCCTGGAGGTGAATTGTCAGCAAGATCTTTGCTGCACGCCATGAAGTTGCTATCCAGGAAGAGTGTGGAGATGTCTGTCCTGGGTAATGCACAGTGGGCTCCCCCTCGCTCTCCGTGTCCGGCCCTGGCCTCTTAGCTTGATGCAAAGTGTTCCTTAAAGCTTGTGTTTCTTTCCTTTCTAAGGAGTTTGGTGTGCTCTCTCCCTCCCCACCCCCACCCTCGCCTGCGCACGTGCCGCCCCCCCCACCCCCGCTTGTCTCTGAGAGCTAGATGTCAGTCAGAGCAGTCTTCCCCTCAAACCCTACCCCCAGCCCCACCTTCAGCCTCATATCACCTCTTCACTTAGAGGTATTTTACTGGCTTTCTGCTTTGCAGCAGTTGCGGGGGAGGGGCTGGTGACCCTTGGGCACCAAGCCTTTCTTTGCACTTGCTTCTTTACACCCCTTCACATCTGGGATGTTGACCCCCTAACTCCACCCACCGAAAGCAACCCACATTTGTGGGTCCTTGGAGGAAGGCGATTGTGGCCATTCAGTGGGGGTTTAGGAGGAACAAACACAAAACGGTGTGTTCCATGTGCTGTCTCTTAAATGGAAGTCCCTTCTCATGTCTTCAGTCATCATTATAAAATAATGGTTTTAATTATGGTCTGTGGGGGTCAAGATGGCCTGTTCTGAATCCCAGCTTTGCTTTTTATTAGTGTTGTAACCTTAGCCAGGTTGCTAATTTGGTTACAGGATCCCCTTGCACCCTGTCTTAGAGTTGTCACATTGAATGACCATGAGGCAGTGTGCCCACAGTGTCTGCACCTTGGCCCAACCTAGACCTGCTGGGCACTTGGTAGGAGCACAGTATAGCTGTTGCCACTGCTGCTGTTCTTGTGTGTATCCTGCTTTTGCCAAGTGTGGGGAATATGTCTTTTTCTTCCAGACGCCTCCCAGCGATTCTCACCACCAGGGCAGGTGGCTCAGTGTTAGGGTCCAAGGATGTTGTGCTGTGCAAGCCCTGCAGTGCCGGGGATGACTTGGGGGCCTCCAGGGCCACACCTGGAGGTGCTTGGGGGACCATGTGGTGCCAGAGATGGAACCAGGGTCAGCTGCATGCAAGGCAAGCACCTTACCTCCACACTCTCTGCCCCGGAGATACTTTCCTATAGTCCCTGGTCTTTGATTTTATTTATGGGACTTGAGATTACATCCATCTGTTACATATTGACTGTTGTTATCAGATTTTTATTTTTAAAAGATACTTAATATAATAAAAACTGTGTGTGTGAGAGAGAGGGGGCATAGAGAGAGGGAAAGGGGGAGGGAGGAAGGGAAGGAGGGAGGGAGGGAGGGAGGGAGGGCGGGAGGGAGGGAGACTGCAGGAAAGTGTAATTAGTGCATTGATTGGGGGGATCTGAGGGACTAAATGAAGGAATGGTTTGTTTAACTCTGTAAGATAGATTTTATTTTAGCTCTTCCTGTGTGTGTGCACTCATGGAAATGGAACCCAGAGCCTTGTATGAGGAGCACGTGCTCTACTGCTGAAATAACACTCTCTAATTGTTAAGCTACCAAATCATATCTGGCACTCATTTATATTTTGGTAAATTTTCTCATTTTTCCAAAGTCTTGAATGTGCCTTCCACTATCTACCTAAGTGTATTTCCTCGTGAAACTTAAGAGGTTTCTGATTTAACACACATTTTTTAATGAAGTTATATAAAAAGTCAATTCCTAAGGGGCAGGCTATTCTATAAGTTAATAAATTTTCCTTCTAAAAGAAAATCCTATCTAACATCCTGGATATGTTGATAATCATGATATATAACCACTGCTTTGGATTACAATCTACAGTGACCCTGTATCCTTTTAAATTTGTTACCTGATTTGCTAGTTTTGTCATTTTACACAGTTGTTTAACATCTTTTGACATTTTAGAGTGTGTTCGTTTATTTTTATTTATTCTATCTTAGCTCAGTAATTAAATGGTTCTTTGAGTAACAGTTCACTTTACTTTGGTCTACCTACAGATACAGACCAAGATGTAGCCCTCAGACTTGCCCAGGAGAGAGCTGAGATCGTAGCTAAGTATGACCGAGTAAGTACCTCTGTCTTCTCTTTGAGGGAGAAACCTTGTGGACAGATGTGGGTCTGATGTTTGGAGAGGTCAGGTGCCAGAGAGTTTTGGGGACTGTGTGTGTGTGGTGAAGTCCTGCTTCCCACTGACCGCTGCGTGACTGGCTGCTCTGGTCTCGCCGCGTCCTGCTGCCTGTACCCGCGCCCTGCCTGGCCTCGTGCCCCTTTGCTGAATCTCTGAACACTTTACTCAGGTTTTGCTCTCAGTGAGAGCCCTGCACTTTCTGTCTCCCCTGCCGCGCTCTCTGCACTCCTTTCTCTCCCTGCCTCTCCCCAGGGTGCAGGACCCCAGCAGGCTGCAGGGTAGACTGGCTTCCTTGAGGGCGGCTCTTACTCTGCTTCCTAAGGGTTAGGGTTTTTTTTATTTGTTTGACTTACCTTATTTTAAATATCTAGAACAGTTTCTGACTCATTCTGGGTATCCTAATGCACAGTGATAGTTCAGTATATAGAATTAGTTGCCCAGTTTCATTCATGATTTATAGCTGCTATTAAACATTTAGCATTGATCTGAAAAACCAAATTTATATATAATCTGCATTAGTATTCTATTCTTTTGTTAGGGGATTTGGTTTTTGAGACCCTAGCAGAAGCACCACTATTGAAGATTTATCTTTACCTCTCTAGGTCTGTAATGAATGAAAGGATTGGTCATAAATGTCATGTCTTATATTTATATCCCTTGTGTGTAGTTTCATATGCATTATCTTTGGTGAGATTGGCAGGAGCATGAAATCACAGAAAGCCTCTGGCTGGGGCTGTATCGGACCCAGTGTGGCCCCTGTGGCCTCATTGGGATCTGGCGCTGGCTTCTGAGTGTCAGGAGTGACTGCGGTGGCTCCTGTTCCTGGCTGTGGCTTGAGGGCAGGCATGAGTGGCCCTATGTCTTACTTGACACCAGTAGGGCCCTCATCACCTACTTATCCTCTTTTTGTTCCAGTGAGCAGGCTGGCATGGTGCTGTCCTGGGGGTTTAGTGCACAGACTCCAGCCCTTCACTCCTTATCCATAGTGTGCTCACTGCTCACTGGTGGAGAAGCATGCGGCCTTCCCAGGGGTGGCATCCATGGAACTGTAGAGTGCTCAGTAGAGACTTAAGGGGTCTATGTCGAAGGGTGCCCACACTCATCCGTGCCAGGTAGCTCTACAGAGGTGTGAGGTGGAAGAGCAGTGGGCTGAGAACTCAGCTCTGGGTGGCCACTGCCTGGCAGTGTCCAGGGATGGCCTCTGGGGAGGGGTGAGGGGAGCAGAGGCCTAGGAAGGTGCCCGGGAACAGGGGCATTACTTCAACCTGGGCTGGAGCAGTGTTAGGGTGGGGGCAGGTAGCTGGGAATCAAGCAGCAACAAGAGGACCTGTCCACTGGTTGGTGTCAGGCCTACGCCATATTCTTGCTGCTCCCTCCCCACCAGGCAACTGCCCCAGGATTACTGCTTGGCCCATGGCAGCGGGTACACATAGGTTCCCTGAATTCCTACAGAGTTAGCCTGCTGCCAGAGGAATTCATTTTCAGAAGGGGGTCCGGGGCTCTTTCCTAGCCTTTATTGTTCACACATTAAAAAAGAGCGTGTGTAACTTTGGCCTTTGTTTGGAAAAATGCCTCACTTTTGTAAATGACTACAGCATCCTGTTTTATCCTGTTTAGGGACGAGAAGGTGCAGAGATTGAACCTTGGGAAGATGCCGATTACCTGGTTTACAAAGTCACGGATAGATTTGGCTTCTTACAGTAAGTTGCCCAGATTAAAAGCTAACTTTTATTATAATGTGTACATGGTCACCTGTTGTCATTGGGATCTTGTGTGTCTGTTTTAAATAGCATTGCTATGAATTATGAATAAGATTTCAGATTTGGGGTTCAGAGAGGTAACACAGGGATTCAGGCCCTTGCTTTGCATGTGACTGGTCCAGGTTCAGTCCCAGGGCCACATGGTTCCCCAAGCATCACCTGACACAGCCCTAGAGTCCCCCAAACCACTGGAGTGCCCTGGGTCACCCCTAGAACAGCAGGCCTCAGCGGCACCACATCTAGGCCTTGCTGGTTGCCCCTGTCTCTAGGAGGTGCCCCATGGCATCCTGAGACCCACCCAGAAGGATGCCCCACAGGAAGATTTCAGGATTGGCCCTGCTGCACGCACAGAACTTGTGGTGCTTTTAATTCCTGCAATTAAAACTACTGTAGTAAAGAATACAGTCTTTAATATTTAAATTTATTGAGAACAATAAATGCAATTAATGAGTTTTTAATAATTTAGCAGAATTAAATGGAAATGAATTTTATTTTTTATTTAAAATATATTACGAACCTTTCATTTTAAAGAAATGCATTTAAAAATAATTATCAATGAGAATGTTAGTGTTAATGCACCCTAAAAATGAGCAATGAAAAGAAACCATTGATCTTGCTTATTATTATTGCTTCTTTTAAAATTAATTCTATTTATCCTGAGTATGTTATATGTAAAAAAAAAGTTAGGAGAGGCTTAGACCACTGTAAAGTCAAAAGATAAAGTGATTTTTTTAAATCTTTTTTTATTTTTTGGGTGGGAGGGACATCTGCACCCAGCTCTGCTCAGGGCTTACTACTAGCTCTATGCTCAGAAGTTAGTCTGATGGTACTCAGGAGACCATATGGGCTGCCAGGGATCAATCCTGGGTTGGCCATGTGTGAGGCAAAGGCCCTCCCCACTGTGCTATTGCTCCAGCTTTGATTTTTATTCTTAAAAATACCCCGCCGGTGAGCTTTCCCAGCTGGAATTGTGGCAGTCTTGCAGCCACACCCACGGCTGTAACCCTTTTGTCTCTCCAGTCTGACATTAGTGAGGAATCATCTCACGTGCTTCCTTTGCCAGCCTTGGCTATTACAGACAGGAACAGGCTGGGCTCTGGGCATGGCAGTAACCCGACACACCTCCACTGTAGGGTCCTAACCTGACACACCTCCACTGTAGGGTCTTAACCCTACACCTCCCCTCCCCCATTGTAGGATCCTAATCTGCACACCCCACTGTAGGGTCTTAAACCAACACCCACTGTAGGGTCCTAACCCTACACACCCCCACTGTAGGACACCCCACTGTAGGGTCTTGAACCAACACCCCCCCCCTACACACACACACATACACACACACACACACACACACACACACTGTAGTGTCCTAACCCTATATAACCCCACTGTAGGGTCGTAACCCTACACGCCCCCACTATAGGGTCCTACCACCCACTGTACCCCAACTGTAGGAAGACCCTTGAGGAGGGTTTGAAATGCCTGGAGAGCATGAAAGGAAAACTCAGAGGGCCAGCAGGGGCTTCATGGCTTCTGTTAGCCTGTCTTGGAGGACTGAGAGGGCTGAGCCTTCACACTGCTGGTTCCGTGCTCCAACACAGCCCTGAGGTAGGCAGGTCTGGGGATGGGGAGGCGCAGAGACCGTCACAGTGCCATGTGGGCCTCCTGGAGTCTCATCAAACTCATGGGTTTTGGTGACACTGTCCCAGGGTCCGCAGTGCTGCTCTCTGCTGCTCACTGTGGCTGGGGTTTTTGTGGTATTGAAATCCGGTCTAGGCATTTAGATGCTGCTTCCTGTCATGCTTTATTTAAAGGAGCAGCCCTACCCCTCCCCCCTCCTATGTTGTCTTAGTTCCTCGTGCTTCTTCCTGGTTCTGTGGTGAGATTGGGCTTTCAGTGCAGTACAGTACACTGTCACACAGTCACTTTGTAGCTTTTATTGAAGGCTGCTGAGTTCATATCCAGTTACTTCTCTGTAACTTAAATGCTTATTATTGGGGAAGGGTGGCAGTACCTAACAGAGGACAGGATTTACTTGGCTTTGTACTAGATTTAATAATAAAGACTTGGCAAACTAACCTGGCTCGGGGGTGGAACAGGAATGCCTTTGTAGTGCTTGGAGACAGGGAGTTATCGCTGGTGCGTGCCTGTGATGGAGATGGAACAACATGAACTTGAGCTAGGACTTTCAACATTTTTATTAAAAATAGTCACTACTAGTCCACTCCACAAAGAATCTTTGGTATTTGGATAATGATAGATAGCACTTTAGGTCACAAGTTATTAATAGAAGAAGTAGGAGGCAATTATACCAAAATTAAGGATAAAATGGACACAAACTCCAGATTTTCAATACTTACCAAAATGTGATTATTTATAAAACTTAGATTGCCTATGACATACTGTAGCTGTAACTATTTGAAAACCAGAAGCAGGTGTTTCGATTTTATTTTTGGGTCCTCATGACTTACTCCTGGTTCTGTGTACAGAGGTCACTCTGGTGAACTCAGGGACAGTTTGGGGTCCCAGGAGTTGAACCCAGGTGGGTTGCATGCAGTGCAAGTGCCTGACCTGAATGAAAGCTTTTGTTTTTAAAGTATAAATGGCGGGGCTGAAGCAATAGCACAGTGGGTAGGGCGTTTGCCTTGCACGCGGCTGACCCGGGTTCGATTCCCAGAATCCCATATGGTCCCCCGAGCACTGCCAGGAGTAATTCCTGAGTGCAGAGACAGGAATAACCCCTGAGCATTGCTGAATGTGACCTAAAAAGCATAAAAAAAAAGTATGGCTATCTCTCCAGCCCTGAAGGTTTTTGTTTTTAAAGTCGAAATGGCTTTGATGATAAGCGCTTGAGATTACCTACCCAATAATTTTGACTAAGAGTAAGTCTAAACATAGACAAAATTTACTACAAAAAATAGAAATAAGCTTATTCATTATAATAAACTTACTCACTTGAACACGTTTTATGTGTCAAATGAATGTTTTTCTACTGTCAAAGAAATACTCCCCCTGACCTGTTAACAGTTACACATCTGTGTTCTACTGCAGTCTGCCTAAGTTTCACTGTTAAATAACCTCAGCTTTGTGGGCCATCTGGTCTTCATCATGACTGTTCAGCTCTCGTGAACAGCCACAGCTGATCCCTAAGTGAATGACTGTGGCCGCATGTCTCCGAGCTTCATTCACAGACATGGACCTGCACCCAGTTGGAACATGGGCTGTCATTTGCTGGGTTGACGGGACACTTCACACCCTCACCCCAACACACACACACACTTTCCCCTTCTCTTTATTCTACTTGCAGGGCCTTTGGGGGCTGGTGTGGGGATGGGTGTCCATATCAGTTCATGTGTGCAACTCTCCCCCAGCTGCCCGTTTCCCCGGGCCATGCTGTGACTCGCTCCTGATGAGGGGGTGTTTCCTTGCTTTCTCCTTGGAAGACTGTGAAAAGATTTGAGGAACAAACTTCTGGGTAGTCAGGGTCATGCACACAGCAGACTTTATAGGAAATGTTTTAATTTTGGAGAAATCAAAATATAAGGAAATTCACTTTGGAAAACTGGGCTACATTCTTAATCTGTCATTCATCTATGAAGTCTTATTATTATTACTATTTTTGGTGAAATTCAACATCCGTTCATGAGACAAGCTGTGTAAATGAAATAACAACTACCATATATGGTTAGCATAATAAAGACCATCTCTGACAAGCCCAAGGCAACATCACACTTTATAGTTACAAACTGGAAGCTTTCCTCCTAAAATGAAGAAGACAGGATGCCACTTTTATTCAACCAGTATTGGAAATCCTGGCCAGAGCAATAAGGCACAAACAAGAAATGAGACTTTCAGATTGGATTGGAAGAGTAGAAACTCTTCCTTCATATTTGAAGATGATAGAAGCTTTTATATTCAGAAAAAAGACTGCATTAAAATTGTTGGAACAAATAAACAAATTCTATAAAGTTTTCTTACAGGTTTAACAGTTACTGGGGTCAAAGCAGTAGTGCAGCAGCCAATCTGGGTTTGATCCCTGACATCTCATGTGGTCCCTTGAGTCCTGTGAGCAATTCCTGAGTACAGAACCAGAAGTTAACCCCTGAGCACCTCTGGGTGTGGCCCCAAAACAGAAGCAAAAGCATAACAATTATTATATTTTAATAAACTCATTCAAGCTATTGGAAAAAGAAATTAAGAAAACATTTGTATCTTATACTTACTTACATCAAAAAGAACCCAGTACCTAGGAGTAAATTTGATCAGATAGGTAAAGGATCTTTACACAAAAAGCTGAAATATTGCTAAAAGATACTGAAGAAGATACAAATGAAAAGCTACTCTGTGCTCATGAACTGGAAAAAAATCAATATTCTTAAGATATCCATATGCCCAAAGCAGTCTGTAGATTTAATGCAGTCTCTATAAAAATTCTGGTTGTATTTCCTACAGAAATAGAATAGACAGTCTTAAAATTTTAGTGGAAACAAAAGTCAAATAGTCAAAGCAATCTTGAGAAAGGAGCAAAACTGGCGGTATCATACTTCCTGATTTCAAACTATGCTGCAGTACAATATTGGCATTAAAGACAAGCACATGTAAAGACATACTTGAAGAAAGAGTTCAGTAATAGATCTGTCCATGTATGTGAATTAACAGAGGGGCCAGGGACACGTGAAGAGGACACACTGGGAAATTGTGCTGGGAAGAGTCAAACAGCCAAAATGCAGAAGAATGGAATCGGGCCACTGTCTTACATGCACCAAAAATAGAACGAAGATTCTAACGTAATACCTGGAATCATAAAGTTCCTACAAGAAAACTTAGTAATAAGCTCCTTGACATTGACATAGAAGATGATTTTTAACAACCCTGACCCTAAAAGGCAATAAGATAAACAACAAATAGAACTATTATTAAAGTAAAAGTCTTCCACACAGCAGAGGAAACCATTAAACAAATGAAATGGCAGCATGTGGAAAGGGAGAAAATACTTGTAAGTCTGCTAGGCTAATAGCTGAAATAGTTCTTGTAAGTCAGTAGGAAAAAATCCAGGTTTAAAAAAATGGGCTGAGGAAACAGAGATAGTACAAGTACTTGCTGTAACCTGCCCTGAGCACCTCCTGGGGTCACTCATGAGTGAAGAGCCAGGAATAGCACCTGAGCACCCCCGGATGTGGCCCAAACCACTGCTTCTCCAAAATTTATTCTAACAAAATGGGCTGAAAGTCGGGGGGACATGAGGCTCCAGCACAACACAGAAGAAAAGAACAGGCAAGGGGCGGGGGTTGTTGAGGATTTGAAGGGCTGTTCCCCTAGTGACGGCCACCAGGGACAAGAGAACACCACCACCCCTCCCTACCACCCCCCCCACCCCTCCCAGCCACTAAACAACACGGAACAGCAAATCAGAACCATGGGCTCTTAGCCTCAGCTGGACAGTGGCTATTGGCAGAGCGTCAGTGTGGTGGTACAGCGCCTTTCTGGTCTCCCTGTCACGTTCTGTGCTAGGTTGCTGTTCCTGCGGCTGTGGCGCAGGGTCAAGTCTGTCCTCCATTGTTGGAAATCTTCTTGCTGTGTCCACAGTTTAGACCACAGTTGCTCTGTCCTCTGCTGCCATGCCCTTTGATGGTGGCTAGAGGGACGACTCACTGAATTTTTAAATTAGTATTTACTTTAGATTAACGTTTAGAATGAACTGGCCGCATGTAAGTGGCTGGAGGTGATGGTAGGGTCAGTGCGATCTGGAATGGACTGATGGGAGTCAGGGAGAGTGCAGAGTGAGCCACTCGCTGTTGTGTGTGGGGTTGGTGGGATGGGTTTGTGACTCTCCATAATGGGAAGTAGGTGATGGTCCATCTCAGGCACGTGTGCCTCTGGGGTGTTTGACATTGGCTGCAGTGTTCTGCGATCTCACCTGTACTGTTTTCCCTCCGCAGCGAGGAGGAGCTTCCCTACCACAATGCAGCTATGGAACGGGTAAGTGCAGCTCTGCCTCTTCCCCTCCAGGGTCTGGGGACTATGGACGAAGGGAGAGGAGCTTCCTCCACCTCTGTGATTTTGGGTGTCACATGACCCCTATACACAGTGGTCCCTGACCCTACCCCTGGTCAGTAGAAAAGTCAGTATGGTCACAGTGAAGTAATTTCAGGAAACCTTATGGGACTGCTCTGGAGACTCACTTCCAGGACGGCCTGAGTCCCAGAGGGCAGCTCTCTTCGTGGCCTCATGTGGAGACAGGAGCAATCGCTTGACGCCCGCCTCAGACTCTGCTCGACTCCGGCCAGATGCTGGCCAGTCTCATGAGAAGTTTCCCCAGAGATTCTCAGCCTCCCTCTGATGTAGCCCCTGTTTCACTCAGATTTCCCACCACCAGCAGTGAGTTTTCTGTAGTCATCGACTCAGATTTCCCACCACTAGCAGTGAGTTTTATAAGTTTGTTTGCTTCCCAAGGAAACTCTTTAGGAAACTTGTCACGTTTTGAACTTGGCCAGGGTGTTGGCTGTAGCTGCTGCCTTAAAAAACCAGGAGGAAAGGTTTCAGCTTGTTCAGAGTCTACCTCCAATGCCACTTTTTTCTGTACCAGGAAATAAGTCGTAGAATGGAAAAACTGCTGGTTTGCATCATCTCCGTTTGTTTATGCTTGATGGGACACTAGTTTCAGGCAGAGAAGGAAAAATACGAATTGGAAAAGGGATTTTGAGAGAGACTTGATAGAATAATAACTTTCTAAAAATAGTAAATGAAGGGGGCCAAAGCAGTAGTACAGTGGGAGGGCATTTGCCTTGCATGTGGCCAACCCGGGTTTGATCCACGGCACCTCATATTGTCCCCTGAGCTCTGCCAGGAGTGATTCCTGAGCGCAAGCCAGGTTAAGCCCTAAGCACTGCTGAGGGTGGCCCAATAAACATAAAAACTGTCCCTAAGTTTGAGATCCTGGCGTCCTTTGCTCTCGGGGACAACTTCTCTTCAGCTCTGTAACTGTGGGGCAGGCCAATGAGTCTTTTGTTTCTTAATTAAAAAAAATTTTGTTGTTGTTTGTTTGGGGCCACACCTGGTGGGACTCAGATTCCTGGCTCAACGCTCAGGGATCACTCCTGGTGGGGCTCGGGGGACCATATGGGGTGCCTGGGATAGAACCCGGTTGACCCCAGGTCATCTGTGTACCAGTGGGGTGGGCACACTACCCGCTGTACTATCACTCCAGCCTATGTCTGTCCTTTAATCGCTTGTCATGGAGAAGCTCTTTTGCATTGAGCTTGGCGCCAGGACCTGCTCAGTGCTTGGATCAGGTAAGTTCTCGCTTCTGCCCAGTCACTAGAGGAGGCCGAGGGAGACCCTGGGTGGCAGACCTTGGGGACCTCCAGCCCGAGTCTTTCTAATCACACTCTTGGTTGTCCTGGCCCAGGGCCTGGCTTCACCAGGGTGACTCTGTTCTCACCAACTATGCCTGGATGTGGTCCAGTGTTTTATGTTTTCTTAACTGACCCTGTTTTTCCTAATGACCGAGTTCTGCCATTTCTGGAAGAGGGTGTAAGAATGGGACCTTTATCACCCTACTGCACAGTTAGTGGAAGCAGCATCCGTACTGTACTGCAGTCTGGAGTGGGGGGGGGGGTGTCTGTGTGGACAGAGGACCCTCACTCTCACTGGGAAGGCCAGGACCCTTATGCCCACATGCCCACAGGAGTAGATTTTCCTTTTTTTTTTTTTTAGGAAGGAGTACTGCTATTTATTCAGCTACTGATTAGCTGATTGAATTGGACATGACCTCCACCTTACTTTTTTTAAAATTTTTTATAATTTTATTTATTGTATCACCGTGAGAGCAGTAACAAACCTTTCGGGTTTAAGTCTCAGTCATAAAATGAAACACCTGTACCTTCACCAGTGCCCATTCTCCACCCCCAAAAGCCCCAGCATACCCCCCATCCCACACCCTCCCCCTACCTGTGGGGCAGATGATTTCCACATTACTCTCTCTCTACTTTGATTGCATTCAACATTTTGACACCAGACCCACCATTATTATTTGGGATTTTACCCCAACACTCAGATCTGCTGAAAAGGCAACAGTAGACAATTTGTTTTCTCTTGCTGGTTATGAATAATATATGATGTTGCGTTGCTGTAGTAGAGGCCACGTGATTTTAAAATTCTGAAATTTTAACACTTAAATCTGGAGGAATTTCTGCCAAAACCTGCTGGGTTCCGAGATTTGTTCCTGAGTCTCTTGGATCATGGTCGTTAAGCATCTTAATTAGGAGCCATAGAGGCCGTTTGTGGGTTACTTTCTTGGTAAACTTTGCCCCAAGTTTTTTGGGGTCTGGCCAAAGGCCCAGCAGCAATTTCGGGGTATATGGAAGTCTGAAGGTGCCATCAGGCTTCTGATGCACTCGCCTCACAGGTACAGATTGACCTGCTGGCGGCACCATATCCCCTTTCCTGTTGTTTTGACTGTGTATTTGTGTTTGGTTTGGGGCCACATCCAGCTGTGCTCAGGGGTTGTACCTGGTGGACCTTAGGACATGCATGGGGATAGGGCCTGGATCTTCCACATGCCATGCTGGGGCTCAGCCTCCTGAGCTCTCTGCCCAGCCCACCTCGGCCAGACTTTACTTCAGACAGTTCTCTGCTTAAAGTAGGGACCCTGAGAGGCTGTCCATTATCAGGGGGAGAAGGGCTGATCTCTGCAGAGGGTTTTGGGTTACCCCGCAGAAGGCAAATAGGTAAACTTACTTACTATATTTGCTCTGCAGAGGACAGTATTAATAATGGCTGTTCTTGTTACTTTGAGGTTATTGATATTTTCAATAAGGTTGAAAAGGGTAAGAGCCATGAATTTTTGTGGAGTCAGCGAGTTTATCTCTGTGCAGTTTGGCCTAACTTACCAATGGGTGGGGCTTTGTCATGTATTTAGGAAGTGAATCGTACTTGTATGTGGTTTTGTGTGTTACTTGGAGTTCCTGCAGACCTGTGGTCTTTGGAGGGTTCCCTCCTTGGAGGCTGGGTCCTCCTGTTCTTCTTGAGCTCTCCTGCCCCCTGCTGGTGAGCTGTAGGAATGCCCAACTCCTGCATCCCCTGCACACTCCCACAGGCCCCACCTAAGACTCAAACAGGACAGAAATGCATCCAGAGACTTGCTGCGAAGTGCTGAGAGTTCTTGTGCTGGAGGAGAAGCCTGTTTCATGCCCAGTGTGCATTGTGCATGTTTAGCCTACTTCATGGCCACCGTGCATGGTGCATGTTTAGCCTCTGTTCTTTGAACAGACTCTGGGTGATTCAGCAGCCACCCTTTGAATTCACCTTTCAGTGCAGTGTCCCTTGCTAGTGCCCGAGAGGCAGCAAGGAAGCTTTTCATCCCAGTCTTTGATTCGCGTCCTTTTGGTCACTTAACATGGCAGTTTTCAGATAGTCAGTATGGGTTGCTGACTTCTTTGTCAGTTTAGTCCCCTCCCAGACACAGTATCTGGGCTGGAAAGCATGCAGCCGTGCCCAGGTGTAGATAACCAAGGGCATAAAGGAGACTGCCTAGGAATGAGCAGTTTTCCTTGTGATAGATGTTGATCTGGTATTCTCAGAGGATTCACATTTCTTATACTTGATTCTCTGATGTGATTTATGGATTGCAGCGGTGAGCACATCTGCTGCCCAGATCTGAGCCTCTCACTCTCCCCAAGGGGAGCCTCCATGTGGGGAGGAAATGGCTGTTGTAGGGCAGAAAAGTACCGGCCAAGTCTGCACTGTTCTGTGGCAGATAAGGCAAGACTGAGAGGCCACTTGATGGGGGAATTGCCAGCCCCACATGGGGATAGGGGAGTGGATCAGCCCAACCAAATTAGGGACAAAATGAACTTCTGGAAAGATCAGCATGAAATGGGTTAATGTGTTAACAAAACAGTTCTTTATACTATAGTTCTATTACAAGGGGGTGGAGAGCTGCTACAACAAGAAAAAGTTTCAGAAAAAGTCCATCAGTAGGGGCAAGAAAGAGAGACCCGTGGGGAGGGCGCTTGCCTTGCCTTGATGCAGACAACCCGGGTTCCATTCCTGGCATCCCATATGGTTTCCTGAGCCTACCAGGAATAATCCCTGAGTGCAGAACCAGGAGGAAGCTCTTGAGCATCGCTAGGTGTGGGCACCCCAAATTGAAAAGCAACCAGAGTTCTTTATGCATTCCCTGTGAATTGCCAGAGAGGGACGTTGTCTGTTGAGTTCATGGGAAATGAATGACCTGACTGGGGGAGGGGGGTGGGTCCCTGTGCAGCCTAGCTGACATGGTGGCTCCAGCTGTGGTGCCAGGGAAGGACAGAGCAACATCTGCTTTGTGCTTCTGCTGGACCTGGAGGGGACAGCAGGGACAGCCAGAGATGGGGCTGGGCTTCCTCCCATGCCTTTGTGGTGGACAACAAGAATGGTAGGGGACTGCTCCAGACTCATGACCTGGAGGACACGGCCTGTGTGTCCAGCACCCATTGCGCCTTCCCCTGGGAGCAGACTCCTCTGAGGAGCACATGCAGACAAGCGAGCACTTTGCCCGTGGACTGTTCTTGTCCACAGTAACAGCAGGCTTAGAATTTATGAGTGAGTCCCTGGTACTGTAGTTAAGTTGGGCCGTGGGCTTCTGTTCTTAGGAGACAGGTGCTTGAATACTCACAGGTGCCCGTGGCCTCCTAAGCAGCCCCCCCGAACCCCCCCAACCAAAAGAAAACAAAACAAAAATCAAACCCGAACCAAACAAGTAAAACAGCTATTGCCTGATGCACATAAATACATTTTTCTGGGATTTGGATGAAGCGTCTTTAGGCTTCATGGTGTAAGGTTCTTCCAGCGTCTCTGCAGGTTTGAAATCCTTTAGAGGAAGAACCGGGAGCTGTGTCAGTCATGAAGGCAGCAGTCACTTCATGTTGTTTTTGTGCAGACTGCTGACATGCGGCTCTTTCTTTTGGAGGCTGAAAAAGTGAAATGTTGTGATCCTGATGGAGTGATCCCATTTCTGCTCTTAGGCTCCATGAGAGATGGTGTTAGGCGAGCTTCAGATTACTTTTGTAGTGACTGAACTGCTGTCCTCTCAGGACTTTTGACTGTTCTGTATATAACCCTGACTCATTGCCTCATGCCCTCTGAGACTGCAGGGACCACCACTGACTGCTGTATTTGCTCAGTAGTATGGTGGTCTTTTCTTATGTAAGCCATGTTTAACTTAAAATGCTTATAGAACTTTACTTATGAATTAGCCAGTTTCAGGTGATTAAATTAATAGAGGTATATGACAGGGCTTTTCTGAGCCGGGGATTCGTGCTTTATTAGTTATGTGCTTTGGGCCTTTGGACCCACCACAACACAGGTGTCAGGCGCTCACACAAGCACAGTGATCCCCTTCCTGTAACAGAGACATGAAGACGCAGGAGGGAAAAGGTGCCCGGGTTGCTGCCCAGAGGGAGAGTAGGATCGACATTTGAACGCAGGCCAGCTGGGTCCTGGGTCCATGCCTTGAAATGCTGAGACTCAGAGGGCCACCGGTGCTTGGAAAAGGTTTCACGTCTTTAACGTTTGAGAGAGGCCTGAGAGATACTTACACAGACAAATGGGAAACATTGGCCAAGGGGGTACGGGGCGTGAAAGTCGTGAGACCAAATCAGGAAAGGTTGCATGCGTGCAAGCAGGTGATTTGGGGCTACACTGTGAAGGGCCATTCATATAGAAGTTAGACTTTTATCTCACTTATTTCAGTGGCCACTGGGACCATCTTTAGCACAGATTTTAATTGTGGTAGCAGTTAGGGGAGTGGACCTAAAGCCAAGTCAGACACCAGGAAGCAATCAGCATTGCCCTTGGGAGTAGGATCCTCAGCGGTAGAAGGGCAGGGGAATGGCCACGGGGACAAGTTCCTGGAGCCGGGTCCGGGAGGGAGGATTCTGCCTAGACTGGCCCAGGGGACTGTGGGGCTGTCAGTCAGGAGCAGTGTTAGAATGCAGAGTGCCGGCTTTCTGAAGTGATTCATTGATAATTCATAGTCGGGGAAATGAAAGATGGCAGGAGCCCTGTGAGCTCTCAGCGGGTTGTTCCTGGCAGAATGTGGCGCGCGCTCTCGTGGGCTTGAATTATTCTCTGTCTTCCCGTGCTGGGGAAAGGCTGCTGCTTTGAAACAGCCAAGGCAGGAAGCGCAGAAGCACGAAAACGTACCACATGGCAGCTTCACACGATCTTCACTCTTCACAGCGTGGCCTTCTCGGAAGTCACATTTAGCAAGGAACATTAATTAGGTTTCAGTGCCCCACTGAGTTTCAAAATTAAACATGTTTCTGGAACCATCTGCAATATTTGATCACTAATAACATGAAGAATATGCCTTGTCTTTTGAAAAATGGGAATTATAAAGACAATTTTATGGTCACAAGTAATTATCTTTTGTAAAAAATTAAAAAACTCATCCAGATTTTAAGAGAAGTAATTAAGAGTTTTACTACTCTGCCAAAAAATAAAATTCTGTGACAGTTCCACACTGATGTGACCCTTTTCTTGGGAGTAGAAGTGAGCAGAGCTCGCCGGTGGCCCCTGTGTGAGCCTGCACTGGGCAGTGGCTCGAGGGCTGCCCGAGGGATGAGGTCTGAGCTTCCTGGCATCGGGTGCCGGGGTTGCTGGCAACCTACTGGCCTGTGAACCCACTTCCACTGGAGCCAGTCCAGACTCCTGTGCCGCTCTGCTCAGTCACAAGCGGGGAGGATGAGGCTGACCACTGGGGTTGTGGTGAGCAGTCTCCTAGCACTGTTCTTCCCCGCATCAGCTCCCACATCCTCTCTGCGCTATAGAACTGACCACAAGCAAATCTTCATTTGCTCATAGGAAATAATGTTGAGTTCTGTCTCCGTGAAAACAAAATGCACTCTGGCACTGCTCTGGCCAGGGACAGCAGGCACCTCGGACAGGGCGAGTGAGTGGGCAGGAGAAGGCAGCCCAGGTGTGCAGAGGACTCAGCCTGCCCTCTGCCACTGACGGTTGCCTGAGGACTGAGTGTTTCCTGAGGGTGACAGAAGTGAGCACCCACAACCAAGGGGCAGAGGCTGAGTCTGCTCACTCCTTCCTGCTGGGTCTGGAATTCCCACGAGACAGATTGTCCAGCAGGCCTGGGGGTTGAGAAGCCAGAGCCCTTCCCCTGGACACCACTGGCAGGAAAAGCATCAGTTCCAGGCAACCCCCACTCTCCACCTGACTCACAGCCCACGTTGAAGATGCCTGCTACGGAACCGTGTTAGCCCTCTGCAACATGGAGGCCTTGTTCCCCCCATGGCCTGTGATTGCAGTCTACTGCTTCCCCAGTGCTCATGATCGCAGTCTATTTCTTCCTCTGTGGCCCGTGATTGATTGCAGTTTCGCTTCTTCTTGTTTTTATTTGGAACTGTCTTCTCTAACTTTGGGTGCTATGACTGCCCTTCTACACAGTCTCGTGTGGCCTTCACTGCATGCCCCAGCGCCCAGGTGCCTTAAGCTGGGTGTGGGGTGCTGAAGGGAAGTACCTAGTGCTTATTTCTGTTTGACTTTGCACTTGCCTAGTGCCTGGTGTAATAATCTCCATAGTTTATGCCCAGTTTTTCTTTGAAGATCAGCGCTGGTGCAGAAAATAGTGAAGTGCAAGAATTCAGTAAAATGTGGAAGAAGACTGAGTTTTGAAGTTGTTTATTGCTTCTTTAAAAGACTAGATTATCTTCCTTTGGGTTTAGACTGCAGAATCCACTGGGATTTCAGTGACTTGTTGAAAAGTATTAGAAATTGTAAATAATTTCTTTGCCTTCTATTGGAGAGTCTCCCACTTCATTGTAGCTGAGAAGTGATCAGTTGTCTGACTTTGTAAGTTAATTTGCTATCTAATACAGCATAACATTTTTAGTAGTCCTTTTTTTAAGCCGCATCTTTTCTGACTTCTGGTGATAATATGCGAGTAAAGATGTTGCAGACAGTAACAGTGACTTTCAATTGTGTTTTAGCAAAAACAACTGGAAATTGAAAGAACGACTAAATGGCTGAAAATGCTGAAAGGCTGGGAAAAATACAAGAATACGGAAAAGGTAATCTAAAATAACACCACTTCCATATGAGCCATGCGGATCAGACTTTTCATAGTGTTTCTAGTGGCAAGAGTCTTACATAAGTTGTTGAAATTTCAGTGTAACTCAGTGGGATGCGCTTCTCTTCCTGCGGGGCAGACGGGGATGGAGTGGGATGGTCTTATCCGTTCCTGGCTGCACAGCCTCCCCTTTTCCATGGGCCTCCCTTTGGGCTCAGAACCATCCTGGCGGTTCTCGTCTGCATGTCACAGTCTTCAGGCCTGGCCCGAAGCAGGGCCAGCCCCACAAGGACTGCCTGAAGCAGGGCCAGCTCCTTCTCCAGAGACTTCTGACAAGCCCCCTTCCGTGAGCTTTTGTGCCTTGCACTGAGTTTTTGTCACTTCTAGCACGTTACAGTCACGTGTCCCATTTCTCCAGAGCACCTCTGGGCTCATTAGATAGGCCTGTGGGTTTGGAGAAGCTGTGAAGCTCCTGGTAGACACCTTGCTGCAGCTCCTGCTGTTGCCCAGCAAGCCCGTGTCAGCTGTGGCCATGTGCAGTGTCAGTGAGCCCCCGAGAGTGGCCAGCATGTTCACTGGTGTTTGGGAAGGGGTCTGTGTGACTGTATGGGGCTGTCTTGGTTACCATGATGATGGGTGCTTCTGGTCTGGGCTCGAGGCCGACCCTGGGCTCAGCTGGCCACAGTGCGGTGTTGGAGGGCCCGCTTCTCTCCGAATGCGAGCTGGGCAGCACTCAGTGCTGTGAGCGGGACTCACTGCAAGCAGCGATGCTGAGCACTGAGCAGTGCTGGAATGCAGAGCAGGGGGCTAGATAACATGGTTGGAGGAGAAGAGGGGACCCCTCCGCCCTCTCTGAGAGCCTGTCCCCTCATCTGTAAAATTGGGACAGTAGTTCTCGTCTCTTGGGAGTGAATGGGCTACAAGCTTGGGCACAGAAAGCCCTCAGCGCCCTGTACACAATTGTCCCATCCCTGTCCTACCCCTTGCCCCTCAGCTGAACTCCAGTTCTGTTCTGTTTCGTTGCCTTTATGCAGTCGTTATTCGCCCATTATGTTTCCTTGTACTCCGTACAGGAGAGAAATCACTGTGTAGGTCTCTGTCCCTCTGACCAGCTTCACTCAGCAGGAGACTCTCCAGGTCCTTCCACGTAGGGGCAAATTCCATGGCTATCTTTTCTGATGGCCGAGTAATATATTTCACTGTGTCTTTGTGCCATAGTTTCTTTATCCAGTCATCTACTCTTGGACGCTCAGGTGGCTTCCAGACTTGGGCTATTGTGGAAGGAGTTGCAGGGCATAGAGGAATGCGGGTGTCTTTTTTCCATTGTGTTTTTGGGCCCTTGGCGTATCTCCTTGGCAAAGTGGGTTTGCCGGGTCATATGGAAACTCAGTTCGTATATTTTTTAGGAATGTCCATATTGTTTTCCAGAAGGGAAACCAAACCAGCTGGCTTTGCCCCAGCAGTGGACGTGAGTCCCTTCCTTACCCTGCATCCGCCCCAGCGCTGGCTGCTTTTGTTCTTTTTGATGTGTGCCAGTCTCTGTGGTGCAAGTTGCTATTTCATCCTTGTTTTGCTCTGCATCTCCCAGATGATTAGTTACACACTCTCTTGTTCACTGCTCTATTGCCTCTCAATTGGCCTCAGTGTGGCTGCTGTACCTTCTGTCACTGTGATCAGGTGACTGAGAGGTGACAGCCAGAAGGTTTCACTAGCACTGTCTACCTTGTCAAATGCTGATGGCATTCAGTGGCTTTGTGTTTCTGGTGCCACAGATGCATGAGAAGCGTGAAAACAGCTGAGAAGGTGCGCATTTTCCATGGCTGTTCCTTTGACAGCCGCTCTGGCTAGTGCAGTTCCCATTAAGAGAAATCTTAACAGAATGAGTACCTTAATGTACCCTTCTAATGCACTTTCCTACCACTATATACTCCATCGTTTGATGGTGCGCATGGTCCAATTTGTTCTGAGACAGAAGCACCCTCTGAGAGAATTGCTGCTTCTAATTCACATTTAGTTTTAAATTGCACAAAAGTAAAAAAGGAGCCTTTTTCTTCTGTTCTAAGAACAGGTAAAAGTTTTTTCTTTTCTTTGTTAAATTTTAGGCCACACCCAATGGTGCTCAGGGCTTACTCCTGGCTCTGCACTAAGAGAGCACTCCAGGTGGGCTCAGGGATGCCAGGGATAGCCCTACTTGCTGTATTATCTCTCCAGCCACATTCTCAGGTTTTTTTTTTTTTTAACATAACCATATGACTCCAACATACTGCTTGGTTTGGTTGATAGGTAAAGATACTGGAAACCAAAAGGTAGTTTAAAGGCAGACTTTCTAAGGTGGTACTTTCCAAGTGAGGAAGTTCAGATTTGATTTCAACTCACCAAAGTCTATGTACCAGTTGCTAAGACTGTGGCGTTGGAGGGGCTGAATTTCAGCTCTCTCTCCGCAGGATTACTAGTCTGTGGAGCTGGTCACTCAACCTTTCTGCATCTTCATTTCGTAATCTACAGGATAGAGTTGATAACAGCGGCACCCACCTCTTTAAAAATGTGATATTACAAGGTAACTTTGAACTGGAAGCACACATCAGCACCTCCTATAAACTGTCATTGTGACTGCAGTCAGGAACTTGGTTGTTAAGTTTTAATTCTTCATTATCCTCCAAACCTGGTCCCCAGCCTCCGCTATCTGTCACCCCATGTTCCTCAGTGGTGCATCCATTGTCCTCTCATAGGAGGTGCCAAATTCTGCTCCTGCCACCTGCAGGGTGCCCACTGCTGAGTTTCATCAGTCAGAAGAGAGCACCCTGCAATCTCTGATTCCCCTCTGAATCTGTCCTGCTCCACAGAGGCTAACTGACCTGCGAGGAGCCGAACAGTGAGAAGAGGATAGGACCCAAATATGTCATATTGAAAAGATCCATTGGTTATCATGGATTCTTTGACAACAAATATTAGCCCAAGGAATGAGTCTCAGCCTTTTTCAGTTTCAAGTTTCCATCTCTGTTTCTTTTCCTAAGTTTCACAGGAGAATTTACAAAGGAATCCCACTCCAGCTCAGGGGGGAAGTGTGGGCCCTGCTCCTGGAGATCCCAAAAATGAAAGAAGAAACAAGAGATCTTTATAGTGTAAGTATCTCCTGCCAACTGCCACTTTAAATTAAGAGTTAATGTTGCATCCTGACGCCTTTTAAGGTAATGTAACATATTGATATCATTTTTGGCAATTATATCAAAATTGACATACAATAGGTCTGTTATCTGTTTTCTTGATTATTTATTGCAGTTTGCAAGCTAAATTTCAAATAAATATGTTTTTGAAAAGTCATTTTGAGTCTAATCAGTAAGTATTAGGCACATTTCAAATGCTTGTAATGATCAATCAGTGTTGGAGCATATTCATAAGAAAAACTAACACCTGGTATGTAGGGGCTTGTTCATGGGTTAGTATTAGAAGAGACTTAACGTCTCATTTCTAGAATTTGTGGGGGAGTAATGGGCAAATTTAGTTATCCAGATGCTGTGAGCGATGAGCTGTTTTCTCCAGTGTGAGAAAGAAGACATTCCCCGGATTGTAAGGGTATCTCTAGATTTCATTTGTTGATAAAGCTTTTGACTCTGTGAACAGCGTTGATATCCTTAAATTAGCTAATGTGTTAGATCTCCTTCCTGTCAGCAGAGCTATATTCTTTCTTGACATAAATTTCATAGTAACCTTTAAAGGAATAAATTTATACTTAAAAATCATTTTGAAATATGTTTTTCAGGAAAAAGTTTCCTTTTTTTTATAATTTAGTTACTGTGAGGTTACAAAATTACTCATGATTCATTTTCAGGCATACAGTGTTTCAACACTGATCCTTTAGCAGGTGTCCACTTCCCTCCACCAGTCCCCCCACTCCCAGCCCATGTACCTCCCACCCTGCAGGCTACCTCTCTGAGGGGCTTTATGGGTATGTTTTGCAGTGTGGGTTACAGTACTCTTAATGATAAGGTTTCATACAGAACATTTTACCGCCATTCAGCACCACCTCTTCCTCCCATTGAATGAAAAAAAAATAAAAAAGAATAAATGGAATAAAGGAAAGGTAATGATAAAAGAGGCTTTGTAATACTTTTGGGATAATGTTCTTTGGATAATGTTCTTCTTTCCATATATGAATACGTACAATTTTATTCATATATAAAAATTTTATTGAACTAAAAGGCAAAAATACTGACTAATACTAACACAATTTCTCCTTTTTTCTGAGTGAAAGGTATTTAGGAATGAGCTGTTTGGGCATTTTATTTCCGTGAACATTAGTGGAGTGTGCCTGGCAGGGGACGTTCTCTGTTAATGTGTGTTTAGTGACTGGCTTTATGTTACGTGCCACCTTTGTTCCTGGGATTGGCACAGTGGCTCCCACAAATGGACTTTTCACCCAGCAGATTCCTGCTCTGTGGGGGCTGGCGTAGGACCTGCAGCTGTGTCCCCGTCTTCTCTCCTTGTGTTTGTCTGGTTGTCTCTGTCGTCTCCATCTTGAGGCAGTCCCCTGAGTCACTGGATGGAGACTACCCCCAGCCCGGTGTTGTATGTGTGTATTTGTGGCTTCAAAGCAGATCACCTCATAGGCTGGAGCTCAGTCTGGATTTTACAGTGACACTCTTCAACCCAGTACACAGACTGTAATATTAGAACTATATAGTTCAGATATATAGGGAATGAAGCTGGAGGGTCGACAACTATTCCACCTCCACTTTGCTGATGACATCGTTCTAATAACACCAAACATCAGCCAAGTGGCACAAATGCTAGCCGACTTTGACCGTGAGTGTGGAAAGATCAAACTGCAGCTGAGTCTCACCAGGACAATGTTCATGAAAAACGAACCAGTCCCTTTGCTCTCAACGGAATGAACATCTCTGAATACAGCAGCCATTTGTACCTGGGTCGAGAACTCAGCATGAGGAACGACTTGGCGCCAGAACTGCACAGGAGGAAGAGAGCAGCATGGAACGCCTTCGAAGAGCATCGAAGAAGTTGTTAAGAGTATGAAGAACCTCCGGCTCCAGGCACATCTTTTCGACTCCACTGTTCTTCCTGCACTAACATACGCCTGAGAGACCTGGGCCCTACGAAAACAGGATGAGAACACTATTCAGGTATCCCAAAGAGGAATCTAAAGAGCTATGCTTGGAATACCACATTTCACTTAAGTGAGAAAAGGAATCCGGAGTTCCAACCTCCATCGATGATCAAGAATCAGGGATGCTGTCTTGTTTGCCAAGGCATGAAAATCAGATGGGCCGAACACATAATTCAATTTAGAGACAACTGCTGGACTAGAGCTGTTACCGACTGGATTCCACGGGACGGTCAAAAGGATGTGTGGCCACCCACCTATGAGATTTCCAGACTTCTTCATCAAAACCCTGAACAAACGGTTTGAGGTTCTTCATTTTTCTGGAGCGAGCAGAAGCCATTAGGCTATACTAGCACTTGACAGGGACAAATGGAGACATTGCTGTCGCCCACTCGAGCAAATCGATGATCAACAGGATGACAAGTGATACAAGTGATAGTTCAGATATCTTTTTTTTACTTCATTTAATTTCTCTTCATTTAGTAGAAGTAACCATTTGTAAATACCAGTCATAAAAATAAGCTCAAAAAGTGTATGGCTGCCAACATTTCCAGCTTATCATTTCAATGTCCTAGTCATTGTCAGTACCGTTTCAGTTTCCCCAGCACCGTTACTGGACCAAATCTTCCTTTCCCAATTACTCTCTCTTCCTCTCCTTCTCAAAGGGGTCCAGAACAGTGATTTTCAACCTTTCTACACCTGCCTGCCAGCTGTGAAAACCGCTGATCCAAATGGCTGTCCTCAAGCAAGACACTAATAGGCACATAACCTCCTTTTCTTAAATTGTCCAAACTTTTCCTAACCTGTTTGCTCTCTCCCCCCACCTCGTCTCACTCTCTCTCAGCCCCTTTCTCTCTTTTCTTCCTTTCCACACACCCTCATCCATCTTGCGCCCAGTCCACCTCGATCTTGCTAAGTTTTCATCTGTATACCTCTCTGCATGGAGTCCTCAGATTTATAGGGTGGATCCTAATTCTTTTGAACAGAATGCTTGTAGGTCATTGTGACCCATGGGTCAGTCCTTCTGGTCAGCTCAGCGGTGACTGTAGCACTATGTGTCCTTTCTGATCTGCACATCTACCCTCGCAGGTCTGCTGGGCAGAAGTCCCCTCGTCATGCCAGTCCGTCACCACCTCCCTGGCCTTTGCTTCATCCTGAGGGCTTCCTAATATTGGCCTTTTGGTCCTCCAGAGAAACAGATAATAGAGATAGGGCTTGGGTGTTTTCTTCCATTCAGCTCAGTTTTAGTCTAAAGACTAGTTCATCTCATTCTCATTTAACAGGAAGAAATATTTCCTCTCTGTTTTAACATTTCATCTTAACAGGATGCCCACAGAGCAGTCATCAGAACCTCTGCTTGACCATCACCTTTTGTTTCCCTTGGCGATGCATAATTTTGGGGGTACGGGGCTGGAGAACACACTGCACACTGGTTCTCAGGGCTGACTCCTGGCTCTGTGCTCAGGGATCACTCAGGAGGGATTCAGGGGACCATATGTGATGTTGGTGAATGACCCTGGACTGGCCGCGTGTAAAGCTTACCTTACCTCGCCTTACCTGCTATACTATCTCTCTAGTTCCCTTTTAAAGATTCATTTTCAAAACTAATTTTTAAAAATCTTTTGTAACTTCTTTTGGGGAGTGGAGGGGCACACTCAGTGGTACTCAGGACTTACTCCTGGCTCTCAGGGACCACTCCTGGCGGGGCTTGGGGGCCCCATATATGGTTCCAGGGATGGAACCCAGGTCATTCACATGCAAGACAAGCTATGCTCTTGCTTCAGCCTCTTCTGACCAATTTTTATCTGAACTCTGCACTGTAATTATTCTTCATGTCTTGGAAAGCTCCTGAAGCTGCTTCCTCTGAGCTTCTACCTCAAGACACAAAAATACACAAATTTATTTGATGCTGAATATATACAACACGTGTTCCAGATGGCCTTCTTCCAGTTGTTCTGTTGTTAGCTAATATCAGGAGGTGGCTTATTTGCAGATACACTAGTTATATTTATATGTATGTGTGCGTATGCATGTGTCAATATATAGAAATTAATTTTAGCTGAAATGTCTATTACCAGTGCATATAAATGGATCAGTATAACACATGTATATAAATACTTAATTATACTTAGGCGTAGTTAGGAATAAATAATTTAAACTTTAATCTTCCATCTAGTTAAACGTGAGATCAAGCATATTCATTTATCTCTCCCCTCACCCCCCCAAAAGCTGGTGAATTAGCAGGAGAGTTTTATAAAATCAGACTCACCAAGAATAAGATGGGAGAAGGGATAATACCTGCCAATTTTTGAAGAGCAGAATCCAGACAAAGTTTTAATAAATAGTGGACCCTCACTGTCACTGTCCTCCCATTCATCAATTTGATCGAGCGGGCCAGTAACGTCTCCATTGTGACAATTGTTACTGTGTTTGGCATATCCAGTATGTCATGGGTAGCTTGCCAGGCTTTGCCGTGTGGGCGAGATACTCTCAGTAGCTTGCCGGGCTCTCCGAGAGGGGTGGAGGAATCAAACTTGGGTCAGCCATGTTGGCTGCATGCAAGGCAAACGCCCTACCCACTGTGCTTTCGTTCAAGCCCAGTGGACCCTCAGAGATGGTAAATCCTAGGCTAGCATTGGTAGACTGTTGGAGTTGTCCGTCTCAGGATCTCTAAGAGGCCCGATCATTGCAGGCTCCACTCCCTCCAGTCACCAAGCAGAAGCTGGAAGCAGCCGTGAAAGAGCCCCTAGTCCCCCCACTGTTATCCCACCTCCACCACTGGAGGTGGCTCGAAACAGAACAGGAAGACCTCGTGGGGGGTTTGGGGAGAGGAGGGTTTGCAGAAAGCTGTGAGAGTGGTGTGGAGAGAACCCCCTCCTGTTTGGCTTGTTTTTTAGCTTTGTGCTTTGGTGTTTTGGTTTTGGGCCACACCTGGTGATGCTCGGGGCTGACTCCTGGCTTTGTACTCAGGGATCACTCATGGCTGTGCTCAGGGGACCCTGTGGGATGGATGCTGGAGATAGAACCTGGGTCAGCCACGTGCCAGGCAAGTGCTTGGCTCTCCCCACGTATGGTCTAAGAAAGCTGCACAACATACAGTGCACTAGATTTGAATTCATATCAGCTTTGCAGTACCGGAAGTGGGGCAGATCCAAAGAGGCAGGCATGGTTACCATCAGGACAAGGAAACCCTATATTGCAGAGAGGAAGGAAGCCCTGGGGCTGGCATCAGCACACATGTTCTCAGGTGGGGCAGCAGTGCCTCCTCCAGGAAGTTCTCAGCCCAAATTCAAGCCAATGGGCAGGGCGGAGGAAAGAGACAGGAGAGTGAGGGCGCTTATAACCTTTGATTATCATTTTCAAAGGTTTCAAAGCATGTAAACCTTTGATTATCATTTTCATTTTTGAACCCTGGGGATAATATTCTGAACAGTACAACAATCATAAGTTTACTCTTTGTCATAATATCTTCAGCAGCTGATTAATAGAAAAATGATGTGTTTTCTTTCCCTCTTTTTCCTCCAGAAATTAAAACTCAGAGCACGGGGTTGTTCACCTGATATCAGACAAATAGACCTTGATGTCAACCGCACGTTTAGGGACCATATTATGTTTAGAGACAGATATGGTGTCAAGTAAGTGAAGTTCAATACTGTGAAATGTAAATGATAATCTTTATCATAGCTTCTGTTAACTTCAGATGTGTGTGTTTAGAATGGCTTGTGTATACAATCATTTTGATTCAGGCCCTAAAAACTTAAAACTTAATTTTATAGATGATTCGGTCAATTTTTAGATAATTTAGAATCTAACTTAAACTTTGAAATGTGATTGTGTTGGGGCTATACCTCATGCTGCTTAGGGTGTACTCCTGGCACTGCACTTAGGGACCACTCCTGGTGGGGTCAGGGGACTCTATGGGGTGTGAGGATTCGAACCCAGGCTAGCTGCATGCATGGCAAACATCCTACCTGCTGTCCTTAAATTGAAATTTTAACCCCTAACATAGTAAGTGCTGTAAAATTGGTAAAGAATCATTTTTCTGTTTGGGTATTTTTTCCTTTCATTGGGGTCGGGGGTTGGGGCCATATCCACTTGTGCCCAGGACTTCCTCCTGGCTCTGTGCTCAGGGATCACTCCCGGTGGTGCTCAGGGTACTACATGCAGTGCCCAGTATCCAACCAGGTTCAGCGCCTGCACGGCCAGCACTTGAACCCCTGTACCATCTCTAGCCCCCTGATCTGGGAAAACCTAGTAGATGTAGTCCTAGAACAGAAATGAGTTTGTCACCTATCAGAACCGTGTCAGTCATGTGTAGATGATGAAACACCACAGGGGCTTGGGTGCCAGATAAAGAGCGGAGGCCACACCTGGCATGTGCATGCAGAGCCCTCGGTGCCATACCCACCACTGCCACTGGTGGCCCGTGAACGTTCTGTGTGATGGGTATGCTCTCCCTGACCTCTGCCAGTAGAAGCCAGGAAGGGTCACAGTGTAGAGGTTTGTTGGTGCATTCTGGCTGGCCCAGGTCCATGGGGCACATCATGGAGGACAGTGGCACTCCACAAGATTGGGAGCGAAAGCTGTTTACACGGGGGCTTCTCCCTTGGGGTAACCCCGTTCTCTGCTCTCAGAGCCTTTCACCTGCTGGTCCCACTCAGCCGCCTGCAGGCCACCTTCTTTGCAGTGACACCCTGTGAGTGGGGCTGGCGGAGTCACAACCCAGCCCACTGGCCCGGCTGCCTTTATTAGCCTGTATCAAGAAAGGGCAAGTACAGAGTCTTCCTTCCTGACATGGTCTAGCCTTCTGCCTAGCATGAGGCCTGTGTCCATCCGCAGTGCTGTGTCCAGCCCCTCAGATGGTCAGTCACTGCTGCCCTAGTGTTGCTGTGTATATTCAGTGTCTCCTAAGCAGTAGGACTGCTGTGTCAGCTGATCAGGGAAGAAGGAGACTGACTTCTGTATATCCACATCTTTACTTATTCCTGCCAAACTCAGCGGGAAATGCAGAGCCCTCGTTTCTGCAACTAGTGGTCATAATTGGCTCCTGATGCTCTCCTGATGCCCAGTCCCTGCTCCCTCCATCTCCCCTGAGGTCCAGCGGCCCCACTGGAAACGGCTGTAGTTTAACTTGACAGTCTCAGCCTCAGACACTCCCTCTGTGCTGCAGAATATTCTCCCCCTTGGTCACCGTGCAGTGGCCACTTGGCGGCCACTTAGTGCAAAGGAGCGGGCGTTCCAGCCCATCTGCTCCCCTTCAGGGCTGGTTGCGGCCCAGCATGTTCAGTGGCAGCTCACACTGGCAGCTCTCTGAGGTCCTGCCCATGTCTCCCAGTGGACACACAGCTCCCAAAGAGCCTGGCGTTGGCAGGCTGGGGTAGTACTCGCTCCAGGGCCTGCGGGGATGGTGGGTATAGATGCCCCACTCCTGCCCGTGGTTGGCTGGATGCGGCCTTGATCCCGCTGTACCCTCTGGGGGCTGCCCTGGAGCCCAGAGCTGCATGCAGAGCGCATCACCCCAACCTACCAACATCTGCCTCTGCTGATGTTGGCATTGCCAGGCTCATTCTTCCCAGGGTGATTTCCTCGGGGGAAAGGGCAGCCACTGACCTTGAGCCAAGTCTGTCAGAGACTGACATCCCCCAAGTCAGGTCAGCTGTGCTTTTCCGGCTTGAGCTGGGAATCATTGCTTTACCGTCTTTGACCTTTAACCTGGTGGCCTATTCGAGCAGGCGACCTTGTTTATTGTTTGATGTTTGGGAGGGGTGTGACACCTTGTTCACTGGAGACTCCTCTTCCTAGGCAGCAGTCCCTGTTCCATGTGCTTGCCGCGTATTCCATCTACAATACGGTGAGTCGGGTGTGTGAGGGAGTGACTGAGGGGGTGTGTTTACTTGAAGGGTGGATTTTGGTTGGGGTTTCTGACATGTACACTTGGGACCCTCTGCCCTGGACGATGGTGTCCTCCGGGGATTGTGGGTAGACTCTGCAGTTCCGGGAGAGCGAGCTGAGATGTGGGTGGTGGCGAATCTTAAAACATGTCTGTAGAAGGGCCCCGAAGACACTCATTAGATAACTGCAAGAGGAGAGATATTTGCAGCAGTGTCAGGGATCCTAGCTAAGAATTCCCCCCTTAAAAGGGGCCCAAACTCTTCCCCGCTCACAGCCTTGGGCAGGGCCAAGTGCAGTCCCACTGCCACGTTGGTTCTTGCCCAGGAATTAGCATGTTTCCGTAGGTTCTGACGGACTGTCGGTGGGTTTTCAGATAGATGTGCGCTTGCATATTGCTCATCTCCGCTCTTCCTCCCCACAGGAAGTTGGCTACTGCCAGGGCATGAGCCAGATCACAGCCCTACTCCTCATGTACATGAATGAGGAAGATGCCTTCTGGGCCCTAGTGAAGCTGTTCTCAGGCCCCAAGCACGCCATGCACGGTAAGGCCCAGGACAGCGCCCAGGGATGGTGAAGCAGGCAGGGGAAGGGACCAGCAAAACCCAGGAGCCTTGGGGCAGGCTGACAGATCAGGTGGTGCCCTTCACTGGACTTCCTTTAGCTGCCAATTCTGTTGTGTTGACCCCATGGCTGAGTGCTGCTTTGTGAAAATGCTCTACCAACATGGCCCTCTGGCATGAAGAAACCTATTTCGGGTTGGAGGGATTTCGGAAAGAAAAGGTGCTTTTTGGTGAGATGGTGCTCCGTGTCATGTTCATTGGTGACTGGGTCTGGAGGTTCAGTCGAGGAAAGAGCCAATTATTTGCTCACGGTCATTTGGTGGCTTTGCATCTCGAGTGTGTTTTAGTTCTTTAAGCCGCAAAGTTAATTTCCTTGTATACCAAAGGCCGGCGGCCTGCTCTGACAACTTTAATGTTTCAAAACTGGCTTGATTCTTTAATTTTCATATTAGAAGATTTTTTTTTAGTAACCTTTTCTTTATATTTGCCCAGCATCCACATTAAACTATTTTAAAGAGTTTGGATTGCTACTTGTTTTAGAAATAAAAGTGACCTTTGTCACCTTGACGCAGAATTATTCTCCTCATGCTGCCCTTGTGAGAGCAACGAATTTAAAACAGACATGAGCGTAGATGACACTGAGAAAGTATCCTTCATTCTGTCTGTGAAAATTATGGCTGTCCAGAACCCAATTTATGAAATCTTATATACTTACCGTGTGGTTTGGGGGGAAGAGGGGCACAGGGTGGGGATGTGACCCCTCAGTCCTTGTGGCATTTCAAGTAAATGCTCTCTGCAGGATAACTGTTCCTGGACTCTTTATTCTATTTACTGGGGGCAAACATTGCTGATGTGTCTTGAAGTACAATGAGATGTTACGGTTTAAGCAGTAAGTAATTGTATGCAAGAGGCCCAAATTTAGGGAAGTTATTTCTTTAAGCCTCTTAGTAGCTTACTTGTAGCAATTATTGTCACCAGCTAGATGTAGCCAGTATTTTACATTTGGATTGGAACATAGTGGGTATCATGTGTAGGGTGGTACTTAGCTTGTTCTGAGTCTCTGAAATGTTACAGCTAAGTATGGTTGCTAAGCTCTTTGTGCCTCCTCTCTTAAAGTGGTGTCTTCATAAATGTGCAGAATCAAAGTGAAGGCTGGGGGAACAAGACTTAAAATAGCATGTCTCTGGAATGTCACTGAACAGAGAAAAAAATGTTAGGTGTCTCAGCATCCTTGAAATCATACTTATTAAAGACACATTATTTGTGTCACCCTTTTGAAAATCAAACCTTTCTTCGAACTTGGGTTTCTATCAAATTGGCCTTAAGAATGACATGGATAGAGAGAGATCAGTTTATTATAAAGTCATTTCACTGGGAAAATGTTACTAAGGGAGGGGTCGACCCTCTTCCTCTGGAATTGTATGCCAGTGCTGTAGAAAGCATCTTGGTAGGAAATAGTCCTCCCAAAGGCTCCTGAGTGATGTTCCCCAGCAGTGGGCTCTAGAGGGACACGGGCTTACTTCATGGAAACATGTTCTGTGTGAGAGAAGTGGACTCCACATGAGGAAAGTCTGGGCAGAGCCAGCAAAAAAGGACATTCAGAGCATACAGACGTGAGGAAGCCCTTATATACATCAGTGATAGGCAACAAGGGACTAGGTAACGTCCTGCATTCTAGAATAATTGTGGGCCGTCCGTTAACTTCCTTCAAAACCAGATGGGCCTCAGTTGGAAAATGAGATGGGGAGAAATCAGAAATCTCTTGAGAACCAGAGGTAAGACACTTGCCTTGAACGCAGCTGCCCTGTGTTGGACCCCCCGCACCACAAATTGTCCCCTAAGTCCCAGCCGAGTGATCCCTGAACACAGAGCCATGAACCTCCAAGTGTGGTGGCCCCCGTAAAACCAAATGAAAACTCATGTACGTGTCCTTTCTCACAGACGATGCGAACACCTGAAAGGAAACGTATGACCAAAAGAGATAACAAGGGTCTGGGAATGACTAACACAGAGTCCCCAAGAGATCTTCTGCCGTACACGATCAGTGGGGGTGGAATACAGTGTTTGGTGTGACATTGATCATATCCTACTATATATTTTATTGCTGTTATAGATCACATAGGGAAAGGATTGAATAGTGAGCTAAGTGGGGGTGGAGATGGCCCAAGTGGTCAAGCACATGAGCAGCATGTGGGAGGCCTGCATGGGTCCTGGTGCTCCCCTCCCTCAGCACGTTAGGACACACTGCTAGGAATGGGGCATGCTTAAAAGACTTCAGAAGTGTGAAATTGCTTTTTAAGTATAAAGTATTTGTTATGTATCAACAGTAAAAGCAAGATTACCGTGTCCTATGAACAAACTTGTGTATTTAAGATGTATGCTCAAATACTTTGAGAGGGGCGGAGCAGTAGAACAGCAGGTAGGGGATTTACCTTGCACATGGCCGACCTGGGTTCGATCCTCAGCACCCCATATGGTCTTCTGAGCCCTGCCTGGAGTGATCCTTGAGTGCAGAACCAGGAGTAAGCCCTGAGCACTGCTAAGTGTGGCCCCCGAACAAAACAAAAAAGTCGCAAGAAAAGAGAACAGATATCACTACTAACTGGCTTTAGTTTTCGTTGCTTCTTACCTTCCCTTTTAACCTTTTCCTTTGGGAGGCAGGGGCGGCATACCTGGCATTGCTCATGGCAGTGCTCATGTGATACTGGGCATTGAACCCAAGTCAGCAAATCCTTAGCATCCCATTTAATCCATACATATTTTGTCCTCTTCTCTTTTTCTGCAAGGCTGTAGGGGATCTTTCACCAACCACTATTACCCCATAATACAAGTCTCATCACCCAAATCTCTCACATGGTGATCTCTGTGATGGGGAAGAAGAACGTTCCAATAACTGAATTTTTGTTGTTAACAGTTAAAATGGAAGGGAATGTTGTCACAGACATTTCTGTTGTATTATTTGTGATGTGTTTTTATGTTTTCATTTTAGGCTTTTTTGTCCATGGTTTTCCTAAACTTTTGAGGTTCCAAGAACACCATGAAAAGATACTGAATAAATTTCTCTCCAAGCTTAAGCAGCACTTGGTAGGTAGATGTATCGCTGACTTATCCCGCCTTCATCCAGTGCTGCCCGTTTCATTTATTGCGCATTGTAGTTCCTCTGGCTGGAAGAATACTGAATATGTGAGATTTACTGTTGATGAACTAGAACAGCTCTAACTCAAGCTTTGCTTTATAGCTAGTACATATGTACACATAACAGTACACTTTGAAAAGAAAGTAATTTCTCAGTAGTCATGGAGGGACTTTTCGGGCTTGTTTTTTTAAATTATTCTAGGGACCAGAGTGACAGGAGAGTGGTAGACACTTGCCTTGCACACTGCCAACCCGAGTTCAATCCCTGGCATCCCATACGGTCCTGAGTACCACCTTGTATGCCCCCCACCCCCGCCCCCTCATTGCATGGTTTAGGTGACAGGATTACATTAGTGTTAATGTTCATGGTCTTGATGCACCACATAACTGCCTCCCACCCTCACCAAAGTCCCCATGCCCTCCATTGTTGTCCTCTGGTTACTTCTCTTCCACGGAGATACTTTTATTGTGCAGCTGTGTCCTACAGGCTTGGTTTTATTGACCCAGATAGATGCTCTACGGAGGGAGGAAGAAGAGAAAAGGTGAAAATACCCCAGCATTTAAAGCTTGTCATTTTATGGTTTTCTGTGTAATGTTGATGGCTACCTCTAGTGGCTTCACTAACCTTTAGATCTGTATTGATGTACTTTGTTTACTGCATCCAGAAACTGTTAAGTCTTTGTTTTTTCAGGATGCTCAAGAAATCTACACAAGTTTTTACACAATGAAATGGTTTTTTCAATGTTTTCTTGATCGTGTAAGTATTTATTTCTAGAAGTCCAGTGATAAAATTATAAATAACAGACGAAGGCAAAGTGTTCATCTTATTTCTGTTCTGTTTTGATTATAGACTCCCTTTACACTAAACCTCAGAATATGGGATATCTACATCTTTGAAGGAGAAAGAGTTCTCACCGCTATGTCTTATACAATCTTAAAATTACACAAAAGTAAGAAAATGTTTAACTCTAAAGACTTCACAAAAAAATCTAGCCTTGTTTTAACTCTGATTTCCCATTTCCCACCCAACTTTGACTTCATTTCCTTTAGTAATTAGATTCTTAATCAGTGAAGAAATGGTCTTGAGTTGGTTGATATACTTTCAGGGGTTCTTTGGACTCAAATTTCAAGACATTGCAAAGTTTCTAATTCCTTCCTATATGTCAGTTCTGTTTCCAGGAACCTCAAGGGGTAGTACGCAAGATGTTGCTTTTGCTACAATGATTCTAAAGAACTGGTCTTCCCTGGGGTCCTTGATTCCTTTTCATCAGTGTGAACCTTTGGGTTTTCAGTCAGAAAGAGAGACAAAAGAGAGAGAGAGAGAGACCATTGAGAGCAGGTCCCATAGTTGGAAGGAGCAGATGGTTTCCATCCAGTTTCTCCTTTCCGAGAGGGAGGCAAACCCACAGCTCCCAGCTGCAGCCAGAGATGCTCCCAGCCCAGCTCCCTCCCTCAGCTTGATGGCCCTGTTACCTCCAGGCAAGCACTTCCGGCACTGGCACCATGGTTGGCAGGCTGTGGCACAGGTACTGAGAAAAACTTGTGTTTAACAAGGACTCTGTCAGTTTGATAATATGCCTTTCTTTAAAAATAAATAAGAGTTTTCCATCATAAATATGAAGAATCTTCTTAATTTTAAACTCTTAATTCAGCCTTAAAAAATAAAATATATATATGGGGAGAACACTTGCCTTGCACGTGGCCAACCTGGGTTTGATCCCCAGCACTGCATATGGTCCCCCGAACACCGCCAAGAGTGATCCCTGAGTATAGAGCTAGGAGTAACCCCTGAGCATCACTGGGTGTGGCCCAGAATTGAACCAAAAAAAAATTACGTGACTTCTTTTGTAACTCTGCAAAGAAAGTCATCAAATGCTTTAGAGATTTTCATCGTCTTATACTCTAGGTCAAACACCATCATTTCATGTTTACCCCGTACTTGTTCTACTCTTAGGTTATTCTTGAATGATCTGTTCAGCTTCTCAACAAAATTAGAGGCTGAGTACGTGAGGTCAGGGTTCATGTTTTTTTGCCGACTCTGCTTAGCATTGTTCTAAGTTCTTGGGAGGCTACTGGATTTTTATTTACTGTTGTGCGGGCTACTCCTGGCCCAGGGTGCTTGGGAGCCAAGCCCAGGGCTTTCTTTGCACACACCGGTCATGTGCCAAAAACCTCACCACTTGAGCCGTCCCCCAGTCTTGGTTGGTGGCTTTAAAAGCATGAATTTCAGGGGCCACATACACTCAGAGAAGAATGGAATCCTCTTCTATCCATGCTTCTGTTTAGCGCAAAGAAGAGAACTTGGCAGTGTTACGCTTCCTTGCCCTTCCCTGGCACCCAGACCACAATGTCAGAGCCAAATAGTGTACAGGAATCACTCTGTCCTCTCTCTCTCTCTCTGTCCTCTCTCTCTGTCCTCTCTCTCTCTCTCTCTCTCTCTCTCTCTCTCTCTCTCTTTTTCTCTCTCCCTTTCTCTTGCTCTTGCTCTCTTTCCCCCCTCCCCGCCCTTCCCTCCCCCTTCACTAAGCTCTTATAGGGTTAGGAACTGCCAAGATGCAAAAGAACTGCCGAGATGCAAAAGACAAGTCTCCATGCTCTTGAGATCTGTGTTTCATGTTCCCCAGGGGGTGAGACCGTAGCATGTCCTCATTCTCTTCGCCCTCAAACTTCTGTGGCCCTTAATCTTGAGAAGTAAGCGGCCACGGGCTCTCCACCCTCTGCAGCTAAGCTTTCGTCCTGGCAGCTAGTTCGTACCTTTCCTATGGGAGACCAGGCCAAGGACTTTTGTGAAGTTCCTCGCCACCCTCTCAGGCTTTCAGACAGCTCTGGGCGCCTTCGGGGATCAGCTGCTGTTCCTGAGGAGTTTTCTTTTTTCTGTCCTGATGTATTTGGAGACATTAATGCTAGAGTGGTGCCCAGTGCTGGAGATTGTTGGTGAGGGTGTGGCACAGTGAGCCAAGGCAGTGGCATGTGTTTGGGCCGGAGCAGCAGGGCTCTGGCATGGCCACTGCAGGCTGTGCTCAGTCAGTGAGCACACCTTGTATGTGCATGGCAGGTGGAAGGTTTTGACTGGTCTTTGCCTTCTCCTTTGCACCTCCTTTAATTTCTTTCCAGTAAAACTCAGGTAGAAGCGCACATAAAATCCATAATCCGATCATTTTTAAAATTCAGACATGAAAACCATGGACCTGGTAGTGGGAGCTCCATGTCACAACAGCAGCAGATTGTCCGGGACTGGTGGCCTGCCATGTGCTGGGCCTGGGTTCATATTAGTGCTGGGCACAGTCAGCCTTAGCCAGTAAGACAGCAGAGCCATCCCTCCCCATGCCAGCCACACCTGCTCCTGTCTGACTCTTGGCTTCAGCGCTTATTTCTGCCTCCTTTGAGTCTCTCACCGGGAATTGTGCCTCAGTTCCTGGTGCCTTGTACGAGTGACTTCTGTGCTCCTTTCTTAGAAAGGGCTGCACCAGGATGCTGTGTGCTATTCCTTCACCTGAAGTACATGCTGATACATGATTTTTATTTCTCTCATACTTTCTCAGAACATCTGATGAAATTGTCTATGGAAGAACTCGTTGAATTTCTTCAGGAAACCTTGTCAAAGGATTTTTTCTACGAAGATGACTTTGTAATAGAACAACTTCAGATTTCCATGGCGGAACTAAAGCGGGCAAAATTAGACCTTCCAGAGCCTGGTAAGGCATATCCAGACACTATAATTATAGTTATGATAGCAGATTCAGGGTCAGAGCAAGTAGGGTCCTTGCCTCCATTCGACCAACCCAGACTCAATCCCCGGCATCCCCCATGGTGCCTTGCGTACTGCTGGGAGTAATTCCTGAGTACAGAGCTAGGAGTAACCCCTGAGCATCGCTGGGTGTGGCCCTCTCATCCCCCTCCTCTCACTGCCTCCCCCCCCCCCCCCCCATGATAGAAGATTCGCACAAATAACCCAGGCCTTTCTGTCTTTCTGTATCGGGACATGAGCGTTACCCATGCTCGTGATAACATACACAGATCAGTGTCTTACCGGCTGCTTTTGGCAAGAAGAAAAGAAAAACATTAATTAATTCCGCGCCCCCCCCCCCCCCGCCCCCAGTAGAATGGCATTGTTATCGCCATTTAAATTTAGAAAATTTGTTGGCAAGTAATATTTTCCAACAGAAATTGCTATGGTGCTGTTGTTTGTTTTGGGAGCAAATCTAGTGGTACTTGGAGGCTCCTCCCGGCCCTGTGCTCGGGGTCACTGCAGGTGGTCCTTGGGCGACCCTGTGCTCAGCCTGCTAGACTTGAAAGGAGCATCCCAGCCAGCACTCGTTTGGCTCACGGAAACCATGCGCAAGAGCAGAGCATAGAAGCCCCGTTTTGTGGAAGAGGAACCTGGTAGTAAAGGCTCAGGCCTACTGCTGCTGGCTCTCCCGACCAAGCCCAGGCCTGCGGGCTCTGCTTGTGCATGTGTGTGCATGTGTGTGTGTGTGTGTGTGTGTGTGTGTTGGGGGTGGGGACTGTGTTTCTGCACTCCCTCAGGTACCATCCAGTTCGGGCTGGAGCCATGGGGGTGCCTGCACACCCATTGCTCTCTGTGCACAGCAAATAGGCTTTGCCTGGGGTAGAGCAGATGGAGAGTGAGCAGGGCAGTGCCAGGACTGGTCCGGGGTCAGTGGAGAAGAGGGACAGAGGTGAGGGAGGGAGCAGGAAGTGTAGGACGAGCATGGCAGAAACCTTTCAGGAGTTCCACCACAGTCTGACACAGTGAGTCTGGAGACCGCCCTTTGCCTCCTTGGCTTGATTGCTGTTGTGGCAGTGAATGGGTGTGAGGAGGCAGTGGGCGTTGGCAGGGGACATAGGGATCCTGTAGGTGGGGAGTCATACCCTGGGCCCACACTGGGCTTTGCATCCTGGCAGGGCCGCCCTCACCCTTATGTCCACCTGTTTACATCATCACAGAAATACATACATGAAAAAGGAAAACCTGGTCTTCGCCCCCCTCCCTGTCCCTGACCCCCTTTGATGAAAGCCCCAGTGCTTGGCTTCTAGTGGCATGTGGGTGGTGGGTCTGGATTTGTTCTGGGTCATCAGGACTGATGAGAACATGGAGGGTGGGTGCGGGTCTTGTGGAGCGCTCGCTTTCTGATGAGTCCCAGTCCACTAACCACTTTCACGACTCTGTCTTGATGCACGGAGCACATTTGGGACAGCAGTTCCTAACTACATTCTTGCTGCTTTAACTTTGACTTTTAAGTAGTTTCCCTACTTCTAACGAGCTTAGGTCACGTGTAGTAAAAGACACATGCAGAGGGAAGATAGACTAGAACTATGTAGACAGGAGAATAAAGTAGGAAACCCTGGGATGTCATGAGATGATCAGCACCCAACTGGCAGCCACATGCTCTATCTCATTTTACACCCTCCCAAACCCCTCCTCTCCTTCCCAACACCCCCCCCCCCCCAATACTTCTAGAAAAAGGGCTCTTCCTCCTTTGAATTAGTATTTTGTGTTCTTGGGATAAGTGCCAAAACCCACTTAATTTGAAAAAGATATATTCATGCCTACATTCCACAAAGCCTCAGCACTAGTTATAATAACCAAGATTTGGAAACAGCCCAAGTGCCCAAAGGCCAGCTGAGAGAAATACGAAGATTTCTCAAAAAAAAAAAAAGAGCTCTCTTGTAGCCCAGTGCTACCATTTCTTGGCATCTATCCCCCACACAAATGGATTGATTTGAAAGGCTCTGTGCCCAGCTGCGTTCATTGCTGCACCTCGTGCCATCCCAGGATGCGCAGACAGCCCAGTGCCCAGTAGTTAGGAAGCTGCGCTGCGCGCGCACACACACACACACACACACACACACACACACACTGCAATACATGTGGCTCTAAGAAAAGAATCTTAGATGTGCTTTGCAGGGGCTTATACACACCTCTCTGGTGTGGCAGAATCTTGGCACTGGGAGTTGCCAGGCCAGGCAGTCTCCTGGCACACCAAGGCACTGAGCCCGGATTTTGTCTTTGATGTGGAAGAGAGTAAGAAGCCGTTATCCAGAGCTCCCTGAAGCCATGGCACAGGGGGAGGGAGCCCAGAGGAGCACTTGGAGCCCTAGCTTGTCCCTGGCAGGCTCCTGCCTCTGCAGCTCCTCCTCCAGCACTCGTAGTTGCGCATGGTGTCCACTGGGTGGCGGCAAAGACCTGAGTAAGGATAGGGACGATGGGCCTGAAGGGCCCTGGCGCCACTTGCCCTAGTTTCCCTCTCACACATACAATCCCCAAACCAAGTCTTCACAAAACCCAGTCATACACCTTTTGTCCTTCTGAACTATGGCAAGTTGTACTTCCTCTTGGTCAGTGTTCTGATTGTTGTTGGCACCAGCAAAATGTGCCCACTTGTGTAGAAAATGCCTTTAGCGAAAATGGTCACCGAAGCATCCCCTGTGATAGCTGATGGGTGTTGTCATGCCTTCCCACTTAGCTCCTGTGTTTGCAGGAGGAAGAGGTGTTTCCCGGCAGTGGGTGAGAGAAACTGCTGTGTTTCTTGAATAGGAGGGGCGTAATGAACAGCCACACTCCTAGCCTGCCCGTGGCCTTCTGTCTGGCATCAGTCACACAGGAGTATTTCCAATGCAGTCAGAAAGTTGAACTGCCAAGGTCCAGGACACAGGATTGGTGGGAAGGGGGTGTTCAGGGTCTAAGATGAGACTGGCGGGGACTTGTTGGGCCAGGCCTGCTCTGGGGTCTCCTCCTGGGGTGCACAAGGTCCCTGGTTCCATCCCTGGCACTGGGTGGCCCCTTATGCACAACCCCCCGCCCCGGACTGGCCCTGAAGGACCTCCCCAGAGTCCTGCTTCTCAAGGAGAGACGGTCGTTGAGGAAACACTAGGAGGGTTATCCTGAATTGACTCTCGATGAGCCTACTGCCTCCGCAGCTCAGCATGCTGGGCTGGACCTGACCCGACTCTGCAGATGCTGATGTCACTGTGATGCCATGGACAGTCGTCAGCACTGTTCTGTGATGCTACCACAGACAGTCTCAGAAAGGACCTGGACAAAGTGAAAGTCACGGCAGATTCCATAGAACAGTGGGAGGGCACCTGACCCTGCTCCATCCCCAGTGGCCCATGCGGTCCCCTGAGCACCACTGTGGCCTGAAAGGCAGCGGACAGAGAAGCAGAGGTGACGCTGGCAGGTCCCTTGGGGCTGGCGTGGCTGTGTGGTGGCTTCAGCTGCTGACTCAGCTTGCTCTCTCACCCAGTCACAAACATCTGAAATTAAATTTATCAAAGTTGTAGCTTAAACTTTTGCGTTAAAAATGTCCTTTAATTCATGTGATATATAGATGCATAGCAAGTCTGAGTCCCTTGCTTAGAGAATGTCCCAGTTGACTTGACTGGAAGATAGCCCTAAGCCCCTGAGCAGTGGGAATTCTCCCCTGATGCCTGCGCACGTGTGACACAGCTCTCCCTCCTGGCCCGCACGCATGCCACCACCCGACTCTCCCTTGCATCCATCTCCACTTTCACTCCCTCCTTCCCTGAGAAGTGTGTGTGTGGCATAGCCACAGCCCACACTTCCTGTGTGGCTGTTGGTCTTCTGGAGGAGAGTCCTGTATGGGGCTGCCAAATGGTAGGTCTGGGAGGCAGTTTAGACACCACCTCTGGTCCCTGTTCCCACTGGGTCTTTTGTTGGAGATCAGAAAGATGGCCCTGGAAGCCCTGGGCATGGGGATCTGTTCCTGCTGTTTCCGGGTTGTGAGCCTTGGGCTTGTCCCTCTGTGACTGAGGTCCCCGGGGTCTCTGTTACTGGCTCTTGCCACATAGGCACATAACTTCTATGTGCCTGACAGCAGCAAGGCTTTGCGAGTGTCCACTATCGTGCCCATCCTTGCTGCTGTACATGCTGCATTCACGGTCATGATGTAAGACAGACATCTGATCATGTTCCTTGCTGAAGCAGAGAAATCCCCAAGCTTGCCTGCTGTCCACACGACTGGTGTGTGTGCTGGACTGTCTTCTGTTGCCTGTGTCCTCCCATCCTCTGCTCCGTCTTTCCCTTCTGTGACACCACTGGCTGTGAGCCCCTGAGGGGCCGCTACCAACAGCCTTTGGGGCTGCTGGGGTGGGCCTCGCACCCATGAGGGTGCCTCGTGAGAATTGGGCCCATCTCCATGTGCTTTAGTTGTCCTAGTGCTTTTCCACATGTGAACAGAGTATTGACACAGAGGTGGGCCAAGTTAGGCTTTCAGGGAGCCATCCCAATTTCTCTGACCTTCAGGGAGCCTGGCTTGGGAGGGCATGGGAGCCAGGCTGGCATACTTCTGCTCTGCTCCCTGGCCCAGAGAGCACAGCCGCGTGGGCACTGCCCAGAACCACAGTGGCAGTGGGGCTGGGAGCCGCCCAGCCCAACCTCCGGAGCTGCTTCATTCCCGGTCTGTTGGGACTCATGGTGCTGAGCTGACCTTTCAGATGCTTCAGTGGCTCCCAGCAACCTTTCGTAAAGCAGAGGAGTGTCTTGTGCCCCCCTGCAGGCAGCCCTGCACCCCCAGGGATCTGGGCCAAGGGGGCGCTGACTGGCAGCAGCCCCAGGTGGTGTTACTTTCCAGAAAGGGGGCAGTAGACCAAGTCTTTGGGAACCTCTGATAAAGCTCTGAAAAGTCAGGCGCACAGAGTCTGAAGAACACGGGTCTCTCACTGGCTGCAGGGTTTTAATGACTTTTCAGAATTCTGATGTGTGGGTCATTGACAGATTTCTTACCCCCACAAAGACCAAGCAGCATGGAGACACACGAGGAGGCAGCTGCTTCTAGTGACAAACTGGGCCTTGCCTCGTGCCGTGGGGGACAAGGGCCGTGGGAGTCCATGCCATGGTGTTTCTGGTGTTTCTGCTGGCCTCCAGATGATAGCACAATGGGCATGTGCACTGCAGCAGATAATTTTCTCTTTGGTTTTTTGGGGCGGCTACACCCAGTGATGCTCAGGGGTTACTCTTGGCTCTGTGCTCAGGAATTACTCCTGGCAGTGCTCAGGAGACTATATGGGATGCCAGGGACTGAACCCAGGTCTGCTGTGTGTGAGACAAATGCCCTCTCCCCGTGCTCTTGCTCTAGCCCTGTAGCAGATACTTCTGAAAGTTTGCTTGATGGCAGTTTAACCTACGGTCCTTTCATTCTTCACTGATCTTCTGGTGTTACATATGTAAACTATTAAGTGCCAGATAGGACCTTTTCCTTTTCAGATTCTTTTTCTGCTGTATTTAAAGTTAGATTCTTATCGGATTTAATTTATTTTGGGTTTTGGGGTTGCACCTGGCTGTGCTTAGGGCTTAGTCCTGGCTCAGGGGATTCTATGGGGTGCCAGTGGATAGAATCCAGGTTGGCCGCATGCAAGGGGAACACCCTACCCACTGTGCTATCTCTCTGGCCCCAGATTCTAGAGCATGCTAACTGGAAATAGAGAGGACTGTATTTTTTATTATGAAGTTATACTGAGGAAGGTAGCAAAAATAAAATGAGCAGTGGTAGCAGTAGTAATAACAACAGTGAGTGATTCGGGGGAACACACTTGCTCTTCAGTTGACTTTTAAATTTGGTGGACTTGTGTGAAGTGGTTAAGAAAAAGTTCTACGGCGATTTCAAAACCACTTTGGTTGAATTGGATAAAGTGAAGCTAATGTAATGGAAAATACTGACTGCAGGCCTGTTTTAGGAAGAGAAATGAATACATCAGCCCTTTCTTCTCGAGAAAGCATGCAGAGTATGTCTCAGGGCCGTGGGCCGGGGAGATGGCGGCAGGCTCACGGCTCTGGTCTGCATGTGGCTGACCCCAGTAGGTGCCCAGCACCGTCAGGAGAAGCCCTGAGCACTGCCGGGTGGGGCCCCAGCACCCCCCACCCTCAAACCAAAGGAGAGGTTGTAAGGTTGTGTCCCACTGGATGGGCCTGAACCCCAAGGCTCTAGGGTCATCCTACCCATCTGCAGCCTCACGAATGCTCAGCTGGGCCTGTGTCCTACCCTTCCCCTCCTTGAGTGTGGCAGTAAGCACAGAGAGCTTGTGCCTTCATGTATGTTGTTCGTGCCTGCTGCTGGCTCCTCACAGCCGTGTGACTTTCTCTTTCCCTTAGGTAAGGAGGAAGAGTATCCTAAGAAACCTTTGGGACAGCTACCCCCTGAGTCCCAGCCTCCTGCTGTCTGTCACCTGAGCAACGGGCAGAAGAGTGTGGGCAAGGCCAGTCCCCATGTGAGTGACAGGAGGGAAAGTGACTCCTCACCCCGCAAGAAGCTCGAGTCCCCCGTCCACCAGCAGAGTCGTGGCGGAACCCCGGAGCGAGCCAGGCACCCCAGAGCGAAGGCGCTGGACGAGGCCAACAGACGGCTGAAGGACGAGGCTGACCTGCGGAAGAAAGTCACCCCCCCGTTCCAGGACAATTCCACTCAGTACAACCACGCGGCTGCTAACCAGAATAGCAATGCCACCTCCCAGGGCAGGCGGGAGTTCGTGCCCAGATGGAACAAGCCGGCCGACAGCTCCGCGCCAGACAGCAGCACCAAGCAGGTGCTGAACCGCTCTGCTCCGCCCGCCCTCACCGTCACCGGCCCCAGCTCTGAGGCGCGCCTGGCCAACGGAAATGGCCATGGGCGGCAGAAGATGCGGGCTCCGGGCACTGATGATGAGAAGCGGGGCTCCAATGCCTCCCAGTACGACAACGTCCCCGAGAACGACAATGGCGCATGTGTGGAGGAGGCACTGGAGAGGGCGGTCGCGCACCCCCACAGCCCCAGGAGGCAGGCGGCCGAGCCCAACACCCCCGTCAGGCTCCCCTACTCGAGGTACGCGGCACAGCTGGAGGGTGCCGACCGAGGGCCAGTGCCCCCGCCCTCCTACAGCCACCCACCCGGGTACCGCGGTGACTCCCCACAGGCGCCCTCATCCAGGAGACCTTACCCTTCGGCCCTCTCAGCCCACACTTCTCCAGACAGACCTTCCGGCCGCCCCACGCCCATCGTCCTGCCTTCCAATAGGATCGAAGTGCTTCCAGTGGACTTCGGTGCTGGTGGCTACTCAGGCAGCTCAGGGTCCCCACAGCACGGGGCGTTCATCATCCCTCCTGTGGATTATTTGCCCGATGACCGGAAGTGGTCGGAAGTGAGTCACACCTACAGACCCGAAGTGCACGGCCAGTCCTGGACACAGGAGGCGAGGCGCAATCACCAGGGCCACTTGACGAAGTTTCCCACCTTCCAGCAAGGGCCCTTCCAGGACCACAGCCTCCCCCCCGTGTCCGTGGATAGCCCCGTGCGCTACAGAACTTCCCCGGCGCTGAACGATGCCGGCAGCTCGTCGGGGTTCCAGTGCTCAGGGCCCTCGCCGGCGGCCTACCACTACCGAAACCGAGACAGACTCGCCATTCAGGAGTCAGTGTTGCTATGAGAAAGACCTCTGCTGACACTCACGAGAGTGGGGCACGCTGGGAGACCACCAGGCTTCATTCCTGGTCGCCAAAGCAGTATTCACGTCTGTGAACAGACGTGCGCTTCCCGCCTAGGTCAGGAGTCCAGTCCGTGGCAGTGTGGCCACCCCGGGGGCCACCGCTGCAGATGAACGTCATCAGCGTGCTGTCACGAACCTGCTCGAATGAAGTCCACAGTGAGGTGCAGCAGTAGCGTTCAGGGGCACACGCATGCACATACGTACACACGCACAGCGGCCCTGTCCCTAGTCTCATTCCCGGCTCTCTCCAAAACCTGGACCTTGGGCTCCATTGGTCCATTCTGTTTGAGTAATGTTACAAAGCACTGAGAAACTGGCTCTGGATTTGGTATTTTTGAGGCTATATGTAGTCTGTGTGTCTTTGACTAGATATTACGGGCATCTACGCATACCCATTTGAACCCATAACTAAAGAATCCCTGTTAGAGGAACCTGCCTTTAATCTGGATCCAGAAAATAATTTATTGTCTTGTACGCATCCTTCCCTCCCCGCCCACCCCAGTCTTTATTCCAGGTTTTGTCCCTTCTGTTTTTAACCCAGATCCGAAACTGACCACCAGTCTCCATTTCCTGTCTCTGCCTGCCCGCCCAGGGCTGTCACCCCCACTGCCTCTCCTTCCCCTCTGAGACACGCAGCAGGGGCAAGGCTGACTGCTCATTGGTGCTTACAAACCTGGCCAGTTCAGGCCAGCTCGGGGCCAGAGACTGGCACTCGGGCCACTCCCATGCAGTAGCATGGCCACCCCTGCCTCTGTTATGGTTCTGGCCAGAGGTGGGGAGAGCATGCCCGCAGGGAGGGCAGCGGAGACCCTCTACCCTGAAAACCTTTGCCTTCTCCACGTGGCGCTTTCTGGCACTTTCTTGAGAGAATGTAGTCAGTGGGAATTGCTGAAGTTATGTCATCAGATAATCCTCATGGGAATGTGTGGGAGCTGGTTCTGCTTACCTCTAGGAATCTGAGACGTGGGGCTTTAAAGAGTTAGAGATTTACACACACACACACACACACACACACACACACACACACACACACTCTCAGACTGTGTGTGACTTCCATGCTTTCAAAATTCCTCCCCCCCCCCCTTTTCAGTTAAAAAATTCAGGTTCATGGTAAAAAGAAATTAGTAATGTTCTTAACATTATTCAATTACACTACGATTGCCAAAACACTGACAAAGCGTGGAGCACTCCACAGAGGCCCGACAGGGCGTGTCCTGGGAGCGGGCACCAGCGTAGATCCGAGGTGGATGGCCCGGGGCTGGCGCGGGGCTGTGGGCGCCCAAGGTACAGAGTGACAGTGGTGTAGCTAGTGAATGTGACGATATGTCTTATGTATATAGAGTCTAATGTAATTCTAATCAAGTTGGTAATGATGTGATGGAATGGCCAAGCAGATGCAGCGTCGCAGCACAGCTGAGTGCCCATGCCTCTGGCCCCTCAATTCCGATCATGTGGAAGCTCTGAAATAAACATCTGAAAATGGCGCCAGATATCAATTCCAGTTTTTAAACTGTGATTCTGTAACTGGTAATAAACCAAACTACAATTTTGTGTATGATGATGGCCTCTAAGCTGCTCAAAAAATATATATATAAATACGTACATATATATCAGTTGGGGTAAATGCTGTAGATTTTATATATATATACATGCAAGATATATATATATATACACACATACTATTTTCTTAAGTCATCTATGACATTTTTTATCTATACTTTTTTTGATGATTGTTTTTAACATGCTAAAAGTAATAAGTATATTTTGTTTTGTGTCTTTTATATGCTATTTTTGCCTTTATTTCCCATCTGGCAAAAGCGCTGCTTCTCTGGACGCGGCTAGCGCTGATTTCCCTGCCCGAGGACTCTCCAGCCCCCAGCTCTGTGCCAGCCTTTCCAGTGTCCGGCACTGCCCTGCCCTCGCTTGGTTCTGTGTGCCCTTTCCCTCGAAGCACAGCGCTCCTCCCAGGCCTCGCTCCATTGTCACCTGTGGTGCCCTGTTCATTTCTTACGCAGGAGATTTTCATTTGAAGTCATTTTGCCATTGTATAATTTTATCTTTCAGATTTATCTTTTGATTAAAGATAAATAATGAAATGATGGTAAAGATGAGAATCTTGATAATGAAGGTTAAAATATACTTAAACTATTTGGTTATGGCTTTTTGTGGAGACCAGTTTCATTTTCCTGTGAACTGCATGCGCATAGAATCAGTATTCTGTCATTATCAAATCTCCTCCTGGCAGTTCTGCATAAGGCCAAAGCACTTTGATGTTTTCACTTTCTAATGGTTTGAAAAGATAAAGAAACTAGACCTGGAGTCTCAAAGAGTTGGACAGTTTCAGGAAATAGTGTGTGTAGGATTATTTTTTTTTAATTGGTAGCTTTTAATTTTTATTTACTCATTTTTTGGGGGTAGGCACACCTGGCAGTGCTCAGGACTTATTCCTGGCTCTGTGCTCCAGGACTGCTCCTGGCAGGGCTTGGGGTACCCAGGATGGAACATGAGTCGTTGCATGCAAGGCAAGCTCCTTAGCTCTGTATCTTTGCTCTTGCACCATGTTAGGTTTGTAAGGTTGTAAGGTGTGTGTGTGTGTGTGTGTGTGTGTGTGTGAGAGAGAGAGAGAGAGAGAGAGAGAGAGAGAGAGAGAGAGAGAGAGAGAGAGAGAATCAGGTGTCAGGATTGTAGGGGAGGGAAGACTTTTTCCTCTCCCTCCCTAAATTCTCCAGCTGAGGCCGAGAACTGACAGAAGACCGAGCACAAGGAAAGTGTCAGCACACACACTGCAGCCCTGTGATGGCAAGAAGCTTGTGTGTGCCCACATGCGTGCCCACATGCGGCAGGTGTTGAACTCTACCGACTCAGTGGGGAGAGGAAAAGCAGCTCTGAGGAGGGGGTGCTGGAGGTGATGGGACCAGCTCCAGGTGGCACATTAGTTCTTGGGGCTCACCCTGACTCCTGGGCACCACTGCCCTCCTTTCATGAAAGAAGGAAGAGGCTGTAAATCGGAGGCTCAGTCTGGTACAGTGCCCCAGGGCCTGGGACCTTGCTGCCTACCTGTGTCCATTCAGCTAGGGGTCCTTTTCCTGAGCACCTGCCTTGTCCTGGTGTCCCAGGCCCATGCTGCTCCTGCTCACATGGGTGGGGGTGCTCCTGGATGTGCTCTGGGGGTTCTTGGTACATTTCTGTAGAAGCTGGAGGGTTGGGAGGAGCCCGGGGTGGGGGGAGTTAGGCAGGATGGAGTGTCAGGCGCTCTCCCCCAAAGGTGAGACCGAGCTTAAGGCCAGGGAGGATGCGACGAAGATAAAGATAGTGGATTTGAGAATTGCTGACCTGGTCAGCTTGTCATCTGGCCCCCTGGTCCTCTGCTCGTTGAATGCTCCATGACAAGCAGATACCATCGGCTCTTTCTCAGTGTGAGGAAGATGCAAGTCACGTGTAGAAGTCACTTATTCAGGTGACAGCCTGCAGGCAAAACCACCAGGCCCTGGACCCGCAGACTAGCCTGGCGCTGTGCTGCTCTCCCCACCCCACCCCCCGCCCCTTGGTGGGGGGCTCACTTCCGTGAGGTTCCCCTCTTAGGCCCCGTGATCCCTTTACTCAGCGTGCTGCTGTGCTCAGGACAACAGCCATTTCAGAACTTCTGCAGCACTCCAGGGCTCTCAGGCCCCCATGCAGTCATCCTTCATCCCCCGACACTGGTTACTAATACACTTTCTGTATATTGCACTTCAGTGGAATCGGACTGTGGCTTTTTGTGTCTTTTCTTGTACTCAACATCACGTGTTTCACACTTCACTCCTCTTGTAACATGCACTGGCAATGATTTTGTTGCTGAAAACTCTTTCCTACCTTGTCGAGGTGGGGCTTTGTGCCCTGGGCTGGGGTCACCTGAGTAAGTCTTGGCTGCAGTTTCCCATTCGTTGGGTGGAGAGAGAGACCCACTGCTGGCCTTGTAAAAAGTTTATGTCGTGTTCAACACGTCAACATGTATCTTACATTCCCTCCCGTGTTCTTGAAAGGTGAAGGGCTGTGACCCGCCCTGCCATACCGAGGGGAGCACAAGTGAGAAACCCAGCACGAGCCCACCTGGCAGCTCGGACAGCGGGCCTACCCCTCCAGGAACCTGTGTGCCACAGGGGTCGCCCAAAGCTAAGTCGGCAAGAGTCTGGTAGGTGACTGCTCCCCAGGGGTGAGATGCCACCTGTGCTCCCTCAGGTGAGAGGTGCTCCCAGATCCTGTACCAGCTGTGCTCCCCCAGGGGTGAGATGCTCTTAGATTCTACGTCAAGTGTGCTCCCCGAGATGTAAGGTGCTCCCAGATCCTATACAGGCTGTGCTCCCCCAGTTGTGAGGTGGTCCTAGATCCTATACTGGCTACACTTCCCCAGGTGTGAGGTGCTCCCAGATCCTACACTGTGCTCCCACAGGTGTGAGATGATCCTAGATCTTACACCAACTGTGCTCCCCATGTGTGAGGTGCTCCCAGATCCTACACCAGCTGTGCTCCCCAGGATGTGAGTTGCTTCTGTATCGTACACCAACGGTGCTCCCCATCAGATGCTCCTGTTTCCCTCTTGTTCCGGGCACCTTGCCTGTGCCTCTCTCCTTCCGCAACCTTCCAGGGTCTCCTTCCCCTGGCCGGGGTGTGGCCTTGTCCTGGAGCTTCCACCCACTTCCCCCAGGGGTTTCTGGAGCCCCCAGAGATACTCATGCTCCACCTGCCCTGGGCAGCCCCTGGGTCCTGCCTCCAGTCAGATGCACGGGCCGAAGGGACATCCGACCCCACCTTACCCCGGGTGGTGTCCAAGGCAGCAGGTGACCAGGGTCACTGCTAGGGATCCCCTGAAAATCCCCAGAAGCCCTAGGAAGCCACGGGTGGCTGGCAGGGGGCGCTGTGCTGGCGGGCTCTGGGTAGGTATCTTAGGGTCATGCAGGGCCAGTGTCCACGCTGCCCAGCCCACGAGGCCAGAGCCCGGTCAGCATATCTGCTTGTATGTGTGGAGCTAGCCGGTCTGGCCAGTGCTTGGGGCAGAGGTGAGAAGCTGTGGAGGCATCCCCTGCACTGCTTTGCTGCCAGCGACACCCCCTCTCCAGGATCCCAGGGTGTGTGTGAGACCCCCCTCCCCATCCCTCCCCGTCCATCAGTTCAACCTGACCCTGTGTGACCCCCATCCAAGGCACTGCAACAAGAGGGGGAGCAAAGGGATGATTCAGTCTTCTAAAAATAAAATACTAGGTGAGAAAGAGAAGGGGAACGGAACAATCGGGTGGGGGGCCGAAATCAGGTTTATTACAAGTAAGTAATACTTGTAACTTTCAAAAACAGGATAGAGAACTGTGAGTGTCCAAGGGACGTGTAGTCCCACCTTACCTGGCGGTCACTTGGGATGTCCTGGCCCCAGTGGGCGGGGGTTGGGGAGACAGCACAGCTGCCTCTGGTGTGCACGATGTCACCAGGTAAGAGAAACTGGGAGGGATTTATTTTTTTCTGATTTGGGGGCCTCACCTGACTCTGTGCTCCGGGATCACTCCTGGTGGTGCTCAGGGATGCCAGGATTGAACTCTGGTTGATTGTGAGCAAGGCAAGTGCCCTCTCCAATTACTATCACTCTGGACCCCTGCAAGGAATTTTTTTAAGATACCTATATGGCTCCTGGACAGAGTCGTGGCTTTATCATTTTTCTTTTTTTAAAACTTAAATATAATTTTGGTTTTGGGGACCACATCCAGCAGTGCTCAGGGGTTACTCGTGGCTGTACCCAGGGACCACTCCTGGCGGTGCTCTGGAAACCATATGGAGTATGGGGAATCAAACCTGTGTCGGCTGTCCTATGGCTCAGGCTTATCATCTTCCTTCTTTGGGGATTGCCTGGGATGGAACTGGGGTCTCCTGCCTGTCACACACTCTCTCTCCCGCCAAGCCACACCCCCAGGTACCTGTAAACAGGCAGTTTCTCTTGCTTTGCTTAATTGGTTTCATGCTTCAAGTCACTCAATTCTAGAGCATCTTACTGAAAAAACAAAATCTCTCTGCAGTGCCCTGAAAACCCTATCACGGTCACAGTCACGGTCCTCCCGTTGTTCATCAATTTGCTCGAGCGGGCCCAGTAACGTCTCCATCGTGAGACTTATTGTTACTGTGTTTGGCATATTGAATACGTCATGGGTAGCTTGCCAGGCTTTGCCACACGGGCGAGATACTCTCAGTAGCTTGCTGGGCTCTCCGAGGGGAGCGAAGGGATCGAACCTGGCTCGGCCAAGCGGGCTGCACACAAAGCAAACGCCCTACTGCAAAAAAAAAAAAAAAAAAAAAAAAAAAAAAGCTTTCCACCAAAAAAACACTCCTTCCCCCCAGAGCTTGAGAACAACTGCCATCAGCCCAGCCCGTCCGTCCCCATTTCCTGAGCACACGGGGAGGGACCCTCCACCTCCTGCCTCTGGACCCTCTGCACACCAGCTCTCAGCACCTTCCCCTTGCCCACAGCAGCTCAGAACACAAAAATAAGACGGGGGTGGGGGAACAGCCACCCCTCCTGCCCCTCTCTGTGGCCCCCTCCACCCCAGGGAGCATTGAGGAGGAGTGACATGCTTTCAGGATCCATGAAGCAGCGCCTTCAAACAAAGCTTGGCTTTTGTTCTCCTTCCTGGTGCCAGCCCACGGGGGGTGTGCCGCCCCCACTCCAGAGCCCAGCTGAGAGCAGAGCCCCGGCAATAGCTTTAATGGATGCCTCTCGCCCACCTCCTGCTCTGCTGTGAGT